ACGTCCAGATTTAATTTTTCGGAGTGTTTCTTTATGAGGTCACTAGTTGTTTTTAGTGTGCTATTTGTTGGGTCGTTTTTAACCTTTTTATAAGTACTTACATCCGACAAAAGTTCTTGTATTTTAGAATTATAATCTGACGTATCCATGACTACCGTGGCGTTTCCCTTATCTGCGCGGAGAATCGTAAGTTCTGGTTTATTGCGTAGGTTCTTTAACGCTATAAATTCGTCTTTGGGAAGATTCGGTTTAGGCACTAAACATCGACGTAACATAGACGAAATGTCTTGACGTATCGCCTCCAAATCTTCTTTTCGCATATTGTTTTTAAATAAACAGTCCTCGACACTACAGATAATTTCCTAGTACGGTAATCTGCGTGGAGTTACAGCATAATTGAGGCCTTTGGATAAAACCTTAATGTTGCATCATCCAGTGTTTGTTTTGACAGATTATAGAACGCGATTAATCTATGATCTGTGTTTGTCAATGGTTGCTTTTGGTTCTGGCTTTGATTCGGATGTTTGACATTTGATTTGGCCGTTAATTTTTGATATTTTTCTAAATGTTTGTTTTCGCATTCGTTATATTTACTAATTTAGCATTTATTTAATGTTTCCATGCAAAAATTATAATCAAACGTCGTTAAAACTTTCTTTAATTCACTGGATGATGTGTCTTTGGATTTATTTATGTCATATAGATCGGAGCGTTTTTGTTGGATTACCGCCCGTAACAACTTTTTACTCGCCTGATCTTAGCGCTTCCTCGAATGTCCTTTTTGGTGGATATTTTGACACACGTAGGAATGAGATTATGGTCTCGGCATCTCTTCAAGAAATTTAAAGCTGTTAGATATCTTGCGCGCTTAGTGTTTAGATCTTCTAATCGGCGTATTTTATTTGCAATTACCAGTCCGTACTGGGTTACATAATGATTTCTTATATTTACGCGAACACTACACATTGAAATAATACCAGTTTTTACGGAATTTATCGCGTATATTTAACTTTTTAAATACCCGACGTTTCGAGAGCTTTGCGGCACCCATGGTCACGGGAAGGACTGAGATGTTCAACGTCCAGATGTCATAGTTAACCGTGGTTACCATAGATTAAAATTTAACTTTTGTTCCGATCTACACAGTTGCAACTGCAAGTGCAAGACTTCATGATACCACAACTTCATACTGTGTCTACAAACTTCAAACAAACAAACTTTCAAACCGAACCGACTTTCGTTCAAACCGAATCTACCCAAAGACGAATTTATAGCGTAAAAAACCTACGCAATAAACCAGAACTTAAGATTCTCCGCGCAGATAAGGGAAACGCCACGGTAGTCATGGATACGTCAGATTATAATTCTAAAATACAAGAACTTTTGTCGGATGTAAGTACTTATAAAAAGGTTAAAAACGACCCAACAAATAGCACACTAAAAACAACTAGTGACCTCATAAAGAAACACTCCGAAAAATTAAATCTGGACGTAAAATGGATAATACCTACGTGCGCCAAATCACCAAAGTTGTATGGGTTACCAAAAATACAAAAAACCCAATGCTCCATTACGTCCCATAGTGAGCCAAATTGATTCACCAACTTACAGATTGGCTCAACACTTAGCGAAAATACTCTCACCGCTCAGGGGACATACAAGAGCACACATAAAGGATTCCTACCATTTTGTCAGCGAGATTAAAGACCTACGTCTGGCAGACAATGAAACTATGGTCATTTTTGATGTGTAGTCATTGTTTACATGCTTACCTGTTGAAGACTGCATCTCAATTGTAACTAGAAGACTGGAAGAAAACAACATGCCCGTAGAATATGCAGTATTACTCAGACACTGCCTTACATCTGGCTACCTATTGTGGAAGGAGGAGTTCTACAAGCAAGTAAATGGTGTGGCGATGGGCTCACCTGTATCTCCCATTGTCGCCGACATATTCATGGAAGACTTTGAGGAGAAAGCCCTGCTTACTTCTCCCATAAATCCAAGATTCTACAAGCGGTATGTAGACGACATTTCACAATCCTACCTTTAGATAAAGTAACTGCATTTTTAGACCATCTTAACTCTATAAATTCTAAAATTCAGTTCACAATGGAGTTAGAGGCAAACAATTCCTTAGCTTTTCTAGATGTGTTAGTAATTCGGAATCCTGATAACACCTTGAGCCATACTGTGTATAGAAAAAAGATCCATACAGATAGATATTTAGACGTTGATTCTCACCACCATCCTTCACAGTTAGCTACCGTGGGTAAATCTTTGTTTCAGAGAGCACGAGGGATCTGTGACAGTAAACACCTGGCTGCCGAGCTCCAACACGTCAAGCAAGTTTTGCATGACAACAAGCTTCGGGTCCCGCGCCTACGTCACAGAGAAAGAGTGAAGCCGGCCACAGTTGAGCGTGTACCTGCTGTACTGCCATATGTTAGAGGAGTCACTGACAAGATTGGCTACATCTTGAAGCGCGCTTCCATCAAAACATACTTCAAGTCGCCGAAGAAGATTGGTCAGTTTTTACCATCAGTCAAGTGTAACGTCCCTCTGCAAGATGCAGGAGTGTACAAGCTTGATTGTGAATGTGGTCTCTCCTACATAGGACAAACTAAAAGATCAATTAAAACCCGCGTTAAAGAACATATAGCTGATCTGAAGAATCGACGGTGCACAGATGTATAGCTTGCTTTCGGGTACGTTCCAAGCCGTCATTTCCGGAAATGGCGGACCTTGGGTCTTGTCGAATAATACAATCCGTAAAGCCCTTTACGCACACCGGGTCTGATTTTGCTGGCCCGTTTAAGGTCACGCTCACTCGCGGGCGTGGTATAAGATCCACAAAGGCTTACGTCTGCATTTTCGTATGTCTAACTACTCGGGCGGTGCATATAGAACTCGTTGGTGATCTAAGCACAGCAGGCTTTATGGGTGCATTTAAAAGATTTCTTTCCCGCCGTGGCCCTGTAACTAAATTGTATTCGGATAACGGTACGAACTACGTCGGTGCAAAATGTATTTTATCAGAATTACATGAGCTCTTAGCCAGCAAGTATTATAATTCGAGTCACCAAAACGCATCGAGTGGTCTCTGAACGTCCCAGCCGCGAGTCATTTTGGGGGCAATTGGGAGACTAATATTAAGAGTCTAAAGAGTCACTTATACCGAGTAGTAGGAGATCAAATTTTGTCCTTCGAAGAGCTAAGTACTGTGCTCGCTCAAATTGAGTGCATAATGAATAGTCGCCCACTTTGTCATACGTTGTCAAGTGACCCCTTGGAGCCGCTGGCTCTAACTCTAGCAATTTTTTGATTTTAACGCCTTTGAAGTATTTGCCCGCCGTAGATATGGACGAGAACAAACTTTGCATTTCCGCACGCCATAAATTATTAGACCGGTTGGTGCAATCGTTTTGGAAACGATGGAGGATGGAATACTTGCATACTTTGAGGTCTCGGCAGAAATGGAACACAGCAACTGAACCTTTAACTGTCGGAACTGTGGTTGTGCTCACCAAAGAGAATACGCCGCCTCTCCATTGGCCATTAGGGATTGTCGAAGATGTTTTTCCCGGTTCCGACGGGGTAATTAGGGTAGCTCGCGTTAGGACCACGGTTGGGTCTTTCATGCGTCCTGTTGTCCGTTTGTGCCCCTTGCCCCTTCAATAGTTTAAATTAGTTTTCTAGATTAGAAGTTATAATAGACATTTAGGTTTAATCTTAGCGTTAGTTAGTTATTTTGTTAGTTTGATCTTAGCTTTAGTTGTTTTGTTATGTTTGAAGGGGACCCTTCAAGCCGGGGGGGATGGTTGCGCGGAAAACCATTCGTATTTTTAATTTTATTCGACGGTATGCTTGCTAAGATTTGTCCTTCCTTCCACCTTTCCTTCACCTGTTGTCCCTCCGACACACCGGGGTGGTGGGGTGAGAGGGGAAAGAAGATAATTCTAGAATATCGCGTGATTTGCAACGAATGAGAAGCGCGCCCCTCCGAGACGCCTTGAAAGACGGACCGAAGTGATATAAGCTAGCACACGGCACTTGCGCGCTCTCTTCCCTTCGGCCGCCAGTTGGAACCACACCACCTAGGACAGTCGTGTCCTAGAGGGCTTTGCCCACGCGCACCGCTAGTTCAACCGCATTAGCCTAGAGCAGTCGAGCTTCAGGAGTAACCGCCTCACCTCGTGTGAGATATAGTCGCGCACCGCTCTCTTCCATCGCACCATCGACCAGGACAACATCTCTGGGGCCCCAGGAGATCCGCCAGAAGTGGCAACGTAGTAGCAAAGCGTCCAAGCCGCATCGAAGTAACACCCCGGTAAGTGCGATTCCTTACTTACGTTACCCTGCTCGAAATTTGTGTTTTATTAGTTCATCCGCCCCAATTTCATTCCTCCTAATGTGGTCAAGCAGGGGTTCCTTCATAAACCTTGGCAAGCAATAGGTTTTCTTGGAAGAGCGAGTGCATTGTTAGGGAACCACGTGCCAAATCCGCCATCTAGTTTAGGCATCATCCGCGTATACAGTCCACATAGTGTAACATCTCGCGTAAAAGGGTCAAGGCTCGACCGGGGAATAGGCCCGCCGCTATATATAATATATATATATAAAAATAATCTGACAGTAATAGTGCAAACTTACTGTTAGTATTTAAATTGAATCTCCAAAACGATCTCGACGGAAAGTCAGGAGGAACTGAGAAATTTAATAATTTTATTTTTGATTTATTAATTAAAGTAGGTTTATAATATCCATATAATATATGTTAACTCTTTTATCGTTCGTTTATTCAGGATTTATGTTTGTCCACAGAAATTTTATGCTGCATAGAAGCTTCGGATGCACTAGTAATATTAATTAGCTGCTTGCTTGTATGGAATGCGTCTCGTGTGGTAAATTTATATTTGTTGTTAACAAAAACATTGTTATATATAATGGATATGAGTTTATTTCAACTTCAGAAGTTCGCATATATCATATCTATTGTGCTACTGATAAACCTTAACTACAGCCTTACCAATATTTTCTCCCGCCAACACACCCAAAAATGCATCAAACAATTTATCAAAACCTTCGGTGATGTGCTCTCTGATTTTTAGTTGCCCAGTCTCAATCCATTTTACAAGTTGATCAAATGCTTTAGGCCATTCATTTGCCCACCTGGAAACTGCAAAACCTTCAATTTTAATCTGCTTCGTAACCAAATACGATTGCAGAACTGTAGCTTTAGACATTTTATCCGGATCATCGTTATATGTACTGATGCTTCCGCAACACGCTACTCTTCCAAATGTATTCATTTGTCTAACGACCCTACTACTTATTTCTCCACCAACATTATCGAAATAACAGTCAACACCTTTTGGAGCAGCCTCTTCTAAAGCTTTCATAATATCCACGGTTTTGTAATTGAAAGCATTGTCAAAGCCAAGTTCGTTTTCTAACCATTTGACTTTTTCATCGGAGCCTGCGAAGCCGATAACTCTACATCCCTTAATTTTAGCAATCTGTCCGACGATTGACCCCACAGCTCCAGCAGCACCAGTTACAACTACAGTCTCACCAGATTTCGGTTTACAAATTTCTAAGAATCCAAAATAAGCAGTTGCTCCAGGCATCCCAACGGCTCCAATTCCATAAGACGTAGGTAAACCTTTTAGATCTGGTAATTTATATGGTCTCGTTAAGGGGTCATCAAACATCTTTACTATGCCGTAGTCGCACCAACCTATATGGGAAACTACTTTTGCTCCAACTGAATATTTGGAATTTTTGCTTTCTATAACTTCACCAATTTGAAAAGAAAACTGATCAAAAGGTGGGGTGTACATTGAATTAAAAGATCGTAGGTAGGGATCTACGCTAATCCACTCCGTTTTGACAATAACTTCACCATCCTTTAAGGGTGGTAACTCATATTCTACTATTTCGAAATCGTCACGCTTAGGCACTCCTTGGAAGTTTCTCTTTACAACATACTTTTGTGCTTTCACCATATTGACAGACTTCGATGTGATTCGAAACCTGAAAAAAGTAGTAAAGTATTTTTATAAAAAAACGAAAACAAAGACAAAATATATATGGTTCACAAATTAGCATAAAATAAATTAGACTTTTACTTATTATAAAACCTACAAAGATTTTGTAATTGTTAAAATTTCATCAGTACTATTGTGAACTTGATAACATTGATATAAAGTTAATATGAAACGGTTGATAAATCCCTAAACCTACGACGGTGACATTTCGTTAATCCCTCAACTGTCATGGCACCCGGACAGGGTTGACAGCTTATGCATGTCCGTGTGTCAGCCGACCCCGTGTGCCCATTTGGTAAGTAGTCGCAACTCGCTATTAAATTAAAAGTAAACGCTGTTTGTTTTTTATTTTAATGTGGCGTATTAAGCGCAAACTTCATTGCATACAAATTTCGATTGTTTTAACCTGTTTTTGTTTTTCCGTGTAAAAGGAGGTAGATATTAAACAGTTGGTTGTGTAAAAAAATGTATTGACGGGTGCGACTTTATAACATCTTTTGATGTAATGTTGTACTGTTATGCAAATAAAATCAAAACCTTAATATATACCTACCCTACCTTTTATGTACAAGAAATCGGCAAAATTACACCACATAGTTTTGAAAGATTGATAATATTATAAAAATAGAATTTATAGAGTAGAATTAAATAGTTTAATTCATGATGATTCGATGCGTATAAGTTTTTAAATAGCTGGCATACAAAATTAAAAAAGATATCATTGTTTTCAAGAATTTCGTACGTTAAACTTTTGTTATCTGTCTCTGTCACTCCCGCGTAAATATAATGCGTCTCGCTCGCACTGATGCAATGACCGCCGTCCTCAGGGATTGTAAATCTTTTATCTGAGACTGCATTGTTTCCATGTGGTTTTTAGTTGGCCTTGAGTCACAACTAAAAATCCTTGGCTTGCTTGACATAATTAATAATTTTTAAATAACGTTCGAACGACATTCCATTCCATCTAGGATGCGTTAGTGATCGCTCAGTTATCGGACACAGTTATCTCAAATATCTATTTTTAGTTTTTGTTATTATGTTTTAATTGTTAAGTGGTTTTATTAATATGTTTAGTTTTCTTAACTGTTTTAAAATGGAACCAGCGCCGTCTACCTCACATCCATTCAAGGAGATTGTATCTCCGCTGAAGAAAAGAAAAATGTCGCACTTTAGTGATTCCGAGAAGGTAATGATTATTTACGTGTTTAAATACGTTAAAGAATCCTGGCCTGCTGATAAATATTCTTAAAAAAAAGATATGAAGGACAAAACATCCCGTATCTTGGGCATTTCGAAATTGGCCATATATCGTACTATAAAAGAATATACCGAAACAGACACCGTCAAGCGAGACTTGAGCCAAACATTGTGGTTGTCATGGATAATGCCAGCTACTACTCAAGACGCCAGGAGAAAATCCCAGTTACAGAAGTTAAAAAAACAGACATCCAAGAATGGATATATCAAAACATATTTCTTTTGAAGCAAAGGAAACAAAAGTCCAGCTCTTAGAGAAGGTAAAAGGTCAAAACTTAGTACCAGTCATACGTGGTCGATGAGATGGCAAAAGCAGTTCGTGTGGAGGTATTGAGATTACCTCCATACCACTGTGAATTAAATCCGATCGAACTAGTTTGGCCAGACGTCAAGGGTATGTGGCCCGGAAAAATTACACAATTAAGATGGAAGATGTTCAAAAAACTTCTCCAGGAGGCTTTAGGAAACATTTCAGCAAAAAAATGGCAAAACTGCATCAGTCATGTAAAAAAGAGGAATCGAAATTAGATAGACTAGATAATAATATAGACAAAACTGTTGATTCTTTTATAATAAATGTGATTAGGCGAGACATCGTCGGAAAGCAGTAACTCCGATACAGAGAAATTGGATTCCGATTTTTGAATTTTCATTTTTTTATTTTTGCCAAATAATTTTAACTCGATTTTTATAACTGTTTTATACTAAAATAAAAAGAAATAATTTATATAATAACAATAATTTATATAATAAGTAAGTAAGTTTATTTTTCTCCATCAAATATTTTATATAAACCGCACATCATACAAAAATGTTTTGGGACCACTGTCAGTAGGCAAAGAGGTCATTGTACGAAATTCTTTCTGCTCCGCGACTGGACTAGGTACCTATAACCGAGTGTTAGCGAAATTTAAAAAATAAATATAAGGTAAATATCATTTAATTAAAGGACCCAATTTATTTATATAAATAGGGTTCTAATTACCTATAATTTTTATTTAGGTACAGCTTACCTTCTACCTACTTGCTTAGTTTCTCTACAACCCAACCCCTAATTTGGTTTTGATAGGTATTAATTAACGCATTGATATAAGTAATGTAACAATTAAAATATAATGTCTGGCGTTAGAATATTCACTACCTCATTTCGTCCCGTGGGTGTTGAAAGATTCGATACAGGGACACACAGAAGATGGACAGTAACATCTTCCTGATAACAGCTCAAAATTATTAAAAACTCCGGTTGCCATCCCGCCTGCCAAACATGACAACTAGTAAAAATCCCCCGATAAGGAGAAGTAGAATAGGCCTATGGTCAGTAGTGGACTTTAATAGGCTGTAATAGAGTAGAATTAAATAACGACTATTATAATCACAGGCCTTTAGTTTTAGTGTTTTTAATAAATATAAATTAACTAACCTACACTATTTAAATATAAAGTACATTTAAAAACAATACTCACACTTAAATACTCACTCCGAGAACAATCCGTACTCAATATCAACGGACTGCAGTTACTATTTAGTTTTAAAATCGAATCAAAAATGTTCTTATAAAGACGGTCCAAGCTGTACGAGAAATAAAATAATACGACGCCAAGATGTCATCGTCGCGTCAGTATACGTATCAAGGTCATTTGAAACCAGGGTTGGCAGACGTCCTGGATGTCCTCTATTTTAGACCCAAAAATTGATCTTGTTAATTTTGTTGATAATTTAAATTCTTTAACAGAGAAATGGCAATATCGCGCGTATTATACTGTTCCTATGCACGCTAGGTGCAGAGTTTGAAAATCACTTGGAGGTGACAATGCTAGAGAGATAAATTACTTTATAGTATGTTAATTATTTCCCTCTCGGCAAAAAAAACACAGTAGTTATAAAATCGAATTGTTCATATATGACTCACAGAACAATGAAATAATTAATATTGTTTTTATAAAAAATTGCTTTTAATGATAATAATAATGTCCTCCAGACCGAATTACGGCCACGGCGGCCTGCCTCAACGGAGGCTAGCTATCGGCGCAGGACAGGATTATAGTGCCCAAGTGATTGCGCAAACACAGGTGCACTCTCTATTCCCTCACTGACGGTACACCGACACGACCGGAGAGAAATCAGGCGCAGGACCAACGGCTTTACGTGCTTTCCGAGGCATAGGGGTGAGATACCGCCAACTTCCTGACTCCGGGCAACTACTGAGAATTTTTGAGAAAAAATAAAATTTTTTCCCGAACCGGGATTCGAACCCAGGACCTCATGATCAGCAGTCGCACTACTACATCCACTAGGCCAACGAGGCAGTCAATTCATAAAATACATCATAAAATAAAGTAAAAAAAAACGAGAAAGTAAAAAAAATGCTACCGATACCATAACAGCATTTTATAAAAAAAAACAATATATCCTTTATTTTCATCTTATGTCCTTTATTTTAATCTTGTCGATTCCCGTAAAATATGAAACGGGATCAGGCAACCCTATGTGCAACTACGAATGCGGTATAATCACCAAGCAATAGGGAGAAAAAAAAAACACATACGTTTATGCTCTCTAAGGGTAGGTACAGAAATGACATGAATGAGTTTTTTTGTTTCGTTATGAATTACGCGATAAAAATAAAAAAGCGCTGAATGCGCCCAAACAATAATTCTACAAATATACAAATAATGTGACTTAAGAAAACATATTCGACAGCCTAGCGAAAGTTTTGGAGATGAGAAGATTCCACTGCGATGTTCCAATGTGTGATGGATGAATATAATTATTTAAATCATCTTCACGATATTTTCCTTCAACGCCGATCACGTGGTATACACTAAAGTATTTCATTGCTGTGAATTAAATTCTGATGTGATCACTTACTATGAAAGCTAGGGAGCGCTTTTGCCTGAAATCTGAACACGTTTGCAAAATCAATTTATTTTACAACATATTTAAATTTATTTCATTAATCTAGCGTTCCCCGTTAAGTGAATACCTGTTTCTGCCCTGGATGGGGGCTACTCTACGCGGACTGGTTTTACGACAAGCTCCAACAACGGGGGCCTTATTGTATACGATGTTCGTCGCCAATGGGAACGTTAATATATTATTCACTACGGCATTTATCTTATTGTTACGTAAGTGCATAGTTATTTTTATAAAGATTAAGACTATTTTTGATCACTGATTCATTATCATCACCATGACTATACCTTATGTTGTCTTGCTGTGCTAATTTCAAACTTTTATAACAAACACAAGCTACACTAGCTTTTAGATGTATCTGTGAACCTATGCCCGATAGAACGCTTTTGCTTTTTTACTTTTTATAAGATAAGGGTGACAAACGAGCACACAATCAACCGAATCAAAAGTGAATGCTGTGGCCAATAGACATTTACATTTAACCTCGATTAAGAATCAAAATGCAGATGCTTTGTCACCCTTCAGGACTAAGATGGAATGCCTCAATTCCAGTAAAACGGGTCTCTGTTTCTCTACACTCACCATACGAAACACAGCAGCATTAAGCTGCTGTTTTACGCTAGTATTCTGTGAGAGCGTGGTCCTTCCCCGGTCGAGCCAAACCATTCAGCTACAACGATAGTAGCTGCAACGTGGCTCTACCTACTTTTACTTTTGATAATTAGGATGCTGTGACAGTAAAGAAAGAACAATAACAACACGACTAGACACGAAAATAAGTAAATTTGAGTTTTTACACAACAGGCAACACTTAAATGAATGAACCTCTTGTAAGGACAAACTTAATGTTTCCCATTAAGACACCGACAGTTTTTATGTGTACAAGGTAATATATTATCTAGGTAGGATTGTATTCAAGAACTGGTTTTTAGTAAGTCAAACAAAGGTAGCCTACAAGACTACTTAAAATATTTTCTGTAGTTGATGAAAAGACTGTCAGACAGGGTACTGAAAGAAGACCAGAGAACCAAGAATTATGCCTAGCATTAACACTGGCTTGGATGTTTTTTTTTTAAAATATAAAACTTGCCAAGTTACAATTTGTCAAAGTACGTAATTTTTTTTACATCAAATGTGTTCCGGTTTGGAGGGGAAAGAGATCCAGTATAATTACCGTCCTCAGAGGTGACAATGCATCTGTAGCCGATGTTCATCTGCTGTACCCACTTATCATCATGTGGACTGTAAGTTCTTGTGACAAAAGAGACTGTTAAGGAACTTGGCACCCGTTCGGAAGTCAACTCTATTATTAGTTAAGCTGACAATTCCAATCGTTCGTACCGAAATTGACCCGTTTTTTCTTTTATGTTTTTTTTTGTAGGATATTACTAATGTTATAAACTTATATAAATTTATCTTTGTAATAATCTATACATAACCACAGGGTTATTTTACAATAACCGGGCAAATTTTGCAGAGAAGGTTCAGAATAAGTAATATAGGCAAATTTTTTGATTTTGAATTGTTTGAAAATATTTCAAAAAGTATGTCCTTTTTTCTTTTAAATTCAAAATGCATGGTGTTGCATTATTTTAACTCATCTCTCCATCATTATATAAGTAACACATTCGTAAGGGTTGATGGGTAGGCAAAAACGTTGTTGATTTTTGTTTCTAATATTCACAAAATATAAATATAGTTTCGACTTATTGGTTGTACAATATGTCTCCTTTATTTAAATTCCATTTCCTGCTGTTCTTTCGACACGTCATTATTGCATAATTTGCCATTTTTTAAATAATTTGCATGCAGCGATTGATTGTATTGACATTTATAGGTGTGAATTGACGTGTTAGTGACATATTATTGGCTACATGGGATCGGCCCACTCTCCCGTTATATTATGTATGTATTATAGTATTCTATGCTCAGGGGTCAGGGGTTTGTTCGTAGATTATTAAGACATAAATCACCATTTAAAAATCTGTCTGTCTGTTTGTCTCAAGGTTTTAATCTTCGGAATAAATGATCGAGGCTACATTATATCCGCTAAAATACGTTTTTTGTGATATCGAAAAACTAATAAATGAAATAGTATTTGATGATTATCTCACAAACAACATAAGACCTAAAAAGTTTGGAACAATACTTTTTTAACTTACAATTTTTACACACAAAAGATCCTCACACTTTATCTTCTATTAAAGTTTGATCCTAAATCGATTTTTAAAATTCTTTTTACATCAACAGCATTTTACAACAAAACTACGAGTAAGGATAATTTGATACGAAATTTTGAAGTGAAATAATAGATTTCAATTTAATTTTTATTTTTAACTAATCCCGTTCATGTATACTTTGGAGATAATGGATATATACATTGGAGATAAAATTCTATTATTTTGTAGTATCAATAAGTTCTAATGTTTGTAGTATTCGAATACGCCTAATGATCTAACTTTAATGTCCAATTCCTAACTTCTATGTGTTTTAGAACATAAAATATAAATTCTTATAAAATATAAATGGAATTACAGCGGAGCTTCTGAAAGCGGGTGGAACACCGGTACTTGAAGTCCTTCAGAAGCTCTTGAATTCCGTCCTCCATGGTGGCACTACTCCGGAGACGTGGAGCAGAAGTGCGGTGGTCTTGTTCTTTGAGAAAGGCGATAAGGCTTTCTTGAAGAACTACAGACCGATTTTCCTTCTGAGCCGCGTCTACGTGCTGTTTTCGAGAGTCATTACGAATCGTCTCGCACGCAGACTCGACGACTTCCAGCCTCCCGAACAAGCCGGTTTCCGAAAAGGCTTCAGTACCATAGACCACATACATACCCTGCGGCAGATTGTACAGAAGACCGAAGAGTACAATCTGCCACTTTGCCTGGCGTATGTAGACTATGAGAAAGCCTTGATTCCGTCGAAATTTGGGCGGTGCTACAGTCCCTTCAGCGGTGCCAAGTTAACTGTCGGTATATCGAAGTGCTGAAGTGTTTGTACAGTAGGGCTATGATGGCTATCCGAGTACAGAACCAGAGTTCGAAACGTATCCAACTGCAGAGAGGTGTAAGACAGGGTGACGTTATGTCCCCCGAAACTCTTCACCGCTGCGTTGGAAGACGTTTTCAAGCTACTGGACTGAAAAGCTACTGGACTGTAAAGGATACGGTATTAACATCAATGGCGAGTACATCACTCACCTTCGATTTGCCGACGATATAGTCTTTATGGGAGAATCGCTGGAGGACCTTAGCACTATGCTCAATGACCTCAATGGTGTCTCCCAATGGGTAGGTCTTAAGATGAACATGGACAAAGCAAAGATCATGTTTAATGTCCATTTCACACCTAGGCCGGTAGTTGTTGGGAGCACTATGCTCGAAGTTGTTGACGAGTACGTTTACCTGGGACAAATAGTCCGACTAGGTAAGATTCGACCGAGAGGTCAATCGACGTATTCAACTCGGCTGGGCAGCGTTCGGGAAATTACGACACATCTTCTCGTCAGGTATATCTCAATCCCTGAAAACTAAAGTGTACAACCAGTGCGTGTTGCCAGTGATGACTTACGGATCAGAGACGTGGTCCTTCACTGCTGGCCGTATGAGGACGCTCAAGGTCGCTCAGCGTGCTATGGAGAGGGCTATGCTCGAAGTTTCTCTGCATGATAAACTCAGAAATGAGTATATCCGCAGTAAAATCAGAGTGACCGACATAGCCCAACGGATTAGTAAGCTGAAGTGGCAATGGGCCGGCCATATAGCTCGAAGAACCGATAACCGATGGGGAAGAAAGGTTCTCGAGTGGCAGCCTCGTACCGGTAGGCGTAGTGTAGGGCGACCCCTCACTAGATGGAGTGACGACCTGGTAAGATATGCAGGAAGTCGATGGATGCAGGTGGCTCAGGACCGTGCTTTGTGGTATTGCTTGCTAAACCTATAATAAAAAAATATAGGAAATGAATTACCTATATTTTTTTATTAAGGTTTACCAATGTTTGATTACTCTGTATTTAACAAAATGGCTTAAGAACTAACTTACGTAGCTACATAAGTGTAACAATCGTTTAAGGTAAACACCACATGCATCGAGAAAGATTATAAATACGAATAAAAAAAGTATAAATTACCTAATAATGGAATATTCGGTGGAAGTGCTGATCGTAATATGAGTCTTCGAATAGTTTCAGAATTGTTTATATGGCTGGAGATCGTCAGGTTGGTGCTTATGCGTTGGGAGTGTGGAAAACAAATGAAGATGTCCTCCGAAGTAAATTGTGAAGTACAGACTCTCTGGAGTAATGATGATGTGCCTAGCGTTGAAGTGCGAAATTACGTTTATTAGCTCTCCTGGCAGATTTCTATCGAAAATGTATTCCATGTTTAATAAACATTAAAAAAGCGTTTTTCCTAATATTATTTATTTTGTCATATTTGCTTATATTTTAATACAAAGCGTTTGGTATGGAAAAATGTGCGTGTTTTAGTTTTTTTTTCTGCACATTCTATAACATTTCCCCTTTATTTTGTACTATTTTAGATATCCACGTATTATTATAAAAAATCTGTACTTATCACGAGTTTATCAACATATCGACTACGCACGGGTGTTAAAACAAAACTCAGTATGTTCAATATTTGTATTTAGAAACGTTATATTAGGTGGAAAAATAAAGTCGTACGTTTCTTGGTTTCCTGTTCGAGATGCTGCGATATTATATATTTGCTCTTTTTCTTCTTTATGAGACCTTAAAATTCCACAGGTGGATATGGCACTTTCACTTTGGTGGATTGACACACCAAGTACCTACATTTTAGATAACGAACGCTGTACCAGACGTTTCGCACCCATCACGTCTGGCGTAAACTAAATTTTGTTATAACACCATATATCGGAAGTCATAAGATTATTCAGGTATATCCCATAGTCGCCTCTTCCGACACCTGAGGAAAGAAATGGTACGATGGAATCTCTAACAACGCCACACGGCGAAAAAAGAATCTTTAGGCAATGGAGCAATTACACGGTAGATCCTCTCTGCAACTGTATTATATCTACAAGTCTGCAGAATGGGATGGCCACAGGAAGCACCACGCCACTCAACGTAGCGCAGTCGAGGGAAGTCCGATCGACCGAGACCCGCTTCGCTGGGCTCCTACTTCTGAGTGGTTTACAAAAAAAAAATAACCACGAAGGAGATGGCGGGGTTCATTAAACACAAAAATGCCTTCGAACAAACATGGATTTGTTGCGCTTACTCAAGACACATATTCCTTGCAAACCCGTGCGCGATTGGAGGAACGTGCCTTGAATTGAACACGAGTTTGTAAAGGCAGTTGCGCGACAAACCCGTGCGTATTTCAAGGCAGTGAAATTGCCTTCTAGTGAACGCGGAAATGGAAATACGCAGTCGGAAAGAGACGCTCTTTATCGATCAAATTAGCGATATATTGAAAATTGGCCAAATCAAGAGCACCTTTAACCGACGAATATGTGTGCGTAGGTATTATACGGTTGTGGAGGAGGCGAGAGAGGTGTGTCAGGATTGTGCCAAATGGAAGTCCGTAGTCTCTGCCTACCCCTCTAGTTGACAGCCGTGAGTGTTTATGTATTATGTTTACGTAAAATTTGTTTTATTTTCACCCGTGTTAATATTATGGAAGTAACTTTAATCGTCTCCGTTCAACTCATATTCGGGTTAAATTTAAATTTTATGCTTTTGGAGGCTACAATATAAAGCAAAGTTAGGTGAATGAGATTACAATGGGTTATTTAAATATGACCAACACAAATCAAATTCCAATGGACCTATTCTACGGACTACGGATCGGTCGCAAAAACACCCAGAGAATTATGGGATTTCATAATAGGGGCTAAAGTATGAAGTTAACGTTTCAAGTTTTAATGTAGCGGCCTCTTTGAATATTAAAACTGCATAGTCCAAGATTCGCGATTAAAACTTTTTTGACTCAAAACCTATAACATTATTAATTATAAAATGTTATGGAATTCTATTGTTTGACTTACAATTGTTTTTAAATTAAGTATTTGGGCTAAGCATCGAAGACATTACAAATAAAAATCGACGTCAATTCAAAGAATGCTAAAAGTTACTCTTTCTCTCTTTACTAAATGAGAATAAAAAGAGACAGTTAATTTACAGCCTATATACGTCCCACCCCTGGGCACAGGCCTCCCGCTATTTTAGGAGGGTTTTACGGCAAGGAAAAGTCCGCCGGGCTGACCCAATGTGTGTTGGCGAACTTCGTATTTCTTTAAAAAAAATTCTCATTTCTCAGGCATGCAGGTTTCATCACGATATTTTCCTTCACCGCCTAGCACGGGGTAAATCAGCAGTTAAAATCACAATTAACAAATTCATTGGTGCCGGCGGGGATCGAACCCGGTTTGCTCACGTACTGTGAAATTTACAGCGAGCGCTAACCATCTGAGCATCACGGCAAAAGAGATTAGAGTTAATTAATAAACATAACTCACACTAAACTCAACACTAATTAGTAAACATACTCGCAGACCTAGCCCCATCCGATTACCTTATTTTTTTCGTAATTTAGACAATTTCTCGCAAGAAAATTTTTTGGTCTCAGAAAGCGGTACAAAATACTTTTATTAGACTTAGTAGAGTCCAGATTTCTAGAGTCTTATCGCAAATGCATAAAATATTTTATATAGTTCGCAGAAATGTATAATGAGGGTAAATACCTCGATTTCATTATTACAACCAGTTAAAAGTAATGACTATTTGCTAGTTGTTTTTTTTTAAACGAGTTAAAGAGTTATTTTGTGAATAAAAGACTTATCATTTTCGTTTTGCAATGTTTATATTTCAAAAATAGGAACTTTAAAGATATACGTGTACAATATACCTAAAATAAAGCTATAACCAATATACTTACACTAAACATAAACAGTATAAAAGTTTCGAGAAAAAAGACAATTAGTAAGATTCAAAAATACACATACATATTTTTAAAGATTTAGTCCTACTCACCTTTATGCTTGTCTGTGTATAACATATAATAAATATAAGTAAAAGTAATATCTTTATATAGCTAATGTTAAACTTTAAAATGATTGCATACATTCGAATATATATATCGAACATTCAAAGTTGTTATATCACCATACAGAGCACTTATGTTTGGGATTCATTGGCGAGCCAGGTGGACAATGAAATTCCTTTGCGAACTCGTACGAGTTTGATAGAGTACCGATGACACGGAACCGGCCCGGAGAATGTACTGCAGTCTTCAATTTGTTGCGCATTGCTTCTGGACGCATTGCTCCACACCATACCTTTAAATAATCAATAAAATTCTTATTTGCCTGTATAATTATTGCGCGTAATAGATTAGTGGTAATAAATGCTACAACTATACTGTGGTTGTAACCGGCTCGACCGCGGAAGGACCACGCTCTCACAGAACACCAGCATAAAATAGCAGCATAATGCTGCTGTGTTTCGTACGGTGAGAGGCGAGAACGGGAAACCTTTTTTACTGGAAACGAGGCATTCCATCTTAGTCCTCAGGGGTGACAACGCATCTGCATTGTGATTCTTAATCGAGGATAGATGTACGAGTAGATGTCTATGGGTCACAGCATCAACTTACCACCAGGTAAACTGTGTGCTCGTTTGTCACTCTTATGCTATAAAAATATAAAAAATATTTTTTTATAGTAAGAGTATGTATTATTTATTTATTTACTACTTACAACAAGTTATTCGCATGTCAACATGAATCAATTTTTTTTCTCAAATCTAGACTTAAAGCAAAAGATAATTTAGGTAAATAAGTTTTAAAAATATTGTAAGTACATATATATTATATATTTTTTTATGTTACTAGCTATCTGCCACGGCTTTGCACGGGTGAAATCTGGATTCTACAATAGCGCCACCTACCGGATCTAACTACACCTATAACCTTCGCGAAACTGCAAGTAATATGTTGACAATGTTCTACAGCAATCTGATGAACGGCATGGTAGCGCATAAACACGAACAAAGAAATATGAATTTTTATATATTAGTTACAAATATAAATTAATATGTAACATAATTAGGATCTAGTCAATATTAAATTAAAATAAAAGATGGAGGTAGTAATGTAAACAGGATTCAACCAACAATGGATTCAAGAGTTATTTTTTTACTTATATTCTACCAGTGCTTGACTGCTATATACCATACGATAATATGCCAAAATAATATTTAATAAATAAATAGGCTAAAAGTTGCAATGAATGAAAATAAAAAGTTAAAACGTCAGTGTCGCAAAAGCAAGTTTTTGTGGATTGGATCCTTTTTGTGGCTGCGTCCAAACATTTTCTTTCTTGGCTGTCTGGTAACATACGCAAGCGTATTGTTACTCTTGACTAAATAGATGTTAGTGTGATTTGAAGTGGGTTTTAATGGTTTATTCTATGTAAAAGTGGTGTGCTCTTGTGTATTTAAACTGCTCCGAGGATATTTTCAATTCAATTTTGGACAAACGAAAATTTGCATTTTTATTTATATAGATGTTTGTTCCTCAAGTAACACAGGATGCATTTTAACAAACAAATAGTAAACTTATGTATAACTTGAGGTCCGCATAAACTCTTATATAAGTTCACCGAATATCTTGACGCTTTACATTGTCATTTTAAAACCATTATGTTGCTTTTCACTGTATAGCAGTTGGATAATGGCATATCAAAAGCTTTTGTAAAACCTTTAGTTTTAGTGCAGCAAATCACAAAGCAGCTGTACAGCTTACAGCTGTTTGTAGTGCATTTGGATCTACAATAGCATTTTATATAGCAAATAAATCATTAATGCTGTTTAATACCATAAACATGAACCATGATAATGCCACGTAAATCCGCTATACAGTATTCACTTTTTAAGCTATTGCATAGCTTCTATCGCGGGCCTTGAGCGCGGGGACCGAATCCAGAAATTCCGTAACGAAAAAAAACCTCACGCTCCCCACTCCGACGGGCACGGAGGTGTGGCGTTGAAAGCCGTGCATCGTCTAACGTCGTTTCAGTTCGGCAGACTTCGGCACTCGGCAGACTTCGGCACGGTGTTTGTGTGCATGCGACTAGACGTATGCGTGTACACTAGCTGCTAACTCAATTATAAAAATTCCTGAATAACCTACATGTATTGTAAGATATTAAAAATATTTTAAACAATATTAACTTCTCATTTATTCAATAAAAGAAAAAAAAATTGTTTTCTTATCGGTCACCACGCTCAAAAAGTGTAACTTGATTTAATATCAAAGACTTAACTGCATAAATAAAATAAATAAATAATTATAATTTCATAAGTTGATAAAAAATGCTATGCAATAGCTTTACCGCGGCAGTCACCGAGTGCCACACGTATTTTTTTATTGCCTTGGGGTCTACAATAGCATTTTTAAGTAGTAAGGTAACGTCTAAAGCTGTTTAATAGCATAAACTTGTACCATTATAATGCATTGTAAATCCATTGTACAGCTTTGAGCTGTTTTTCTCATCAGCAAAGGGCACGTGCCCTTTGCTGTTGTGACGGCCCATTATTATTATTAATAATTAATTTCTATATAAGGGGGCGTCAAAAATAATCTTAAAAGATATATATTATACAATAAAAATACATTAATAAGCATAAAGTTAAAATAAATACATTTAAGACATTAAGTATTATAGTAAAATAAAGGCTGAATATTGTCTTTCAAAATAAATAAATTTATTTAAAAACTTGTGCATTGATGTAGGGTTTATTTAAATTCTAACTGTGAACAATTATTACATTTAGGATATAAAGTCGAGTTATAAATATACTTATTAACACTATAAAGTATAAACCTAAGAGAGGAATGTTAAAAGCGCTTCAACTGCGTTATAAATATTGCATATAGCACTCAAGGTAATACTAAGTAGTACTACTCGTATATAGTCTATAAGTTTATAATAGATATATGAGGATCTTAATAACACTTTTACCTTATTGTGGAGTTATAGTTCGAGAGAAGCACCAAAAGCGGTATATTTGTTAAATATAACGTGCTTAAGATATTTTATACGGCTATAAGAGTTTTTAATCTATTCTGTATTATCATTAATACGGTATAGTCTTTACAAGACCTTTAATAATTTCACGAATTATTAATTATTTTACGTATCTTGCGTATTAGTACAATTAAGTCAAACAACAAATGGACCCTAAACTCTTCCGATAGTAAAATGTTCTTATGTGCTTTTATATCTCAAATTTAGTAAAAATACTCCATAGTTAGATGATTATAGATCTTGGAGCTCTAAAATAATTATCACTAGCGCCCTACTATATATGCCATAAGATATAGTAGACGTGCTTTAGTAAAAAGTCGCCATTACCTGATAGTATTTGATGAATTATGTATGTCAATAAAATAAACAGTTTTCTAATGTTAGAGAACATACTTTTCACAGTAAATGAACCCTTTTGAATTTCATGCCCTGGTAAATTCACAACAAGCTCCTCAAAATTTTAAAGCACTTTAGTAAGATAAATTACAGCAGAATTCAGAGGTTTCATTAATGGACATTTTGACAGAAAACTTATGCTCGCACTAATATTCTACGTAAAAAAGTGAAATTAAATAATTATATTATCTTACTTTCAACTAATCAACTTTTTTTAAATATTTACCACCATGACACATCTCGATCAAGTATTTATCATTTATGTTCTGTAACTATAATTCTTACTATAAAAAATATCTTTAAGATGCTTGAAGAACTAGTTACGAGTTACGTCGCACCGCAATCGTAGCAAATTCTATAAAGATGGCACAAGAATTTCTTGTAAGTATATCTTTAAGGTCCAAAAATCAAATTTCTCGCAGCTTTGTATCGCTATTACAAATTCACCATGCCGCTTTCGTACATATACTGTAGCACTGAATGCCGTATAGGTAAAGTGGGCTCTTTTCAGTGGCATAGAAGCGATTGAAAAGTTCTCTATCGCTACTATAGTACTTATTTATGAAGGTAAAGCCGTTAAATATACCTGTTAAACGGCTACTGTAGCGGTTCGTTATACCGCTTGTGTGCTACTTTAACTGTAAATCAATTAAAAAACTATGGTGAACCTAATTATAATCTAAAGCCGTATAATTGGTGTCCAAATAAGCATTACCGTAGTCGTATACACGTTTGTAATGCTACTATAGAACTAACTCAAAATTCGAAAACGATACAGAAATGCTGTAAGTCGGCAGTTATACTTATAAAAGTCCGGTGTGTGTGTGTGTGTGTGTGTGTGTGTGTGTGTGTGTGTGTGTGTGTGTGTGTGTGTGTGTGTGTGTGTTCGTATTTATCTCCTCTAGATCTCCTCTGACCTTGGAATTGATGGATGATATTTTTATAGGGTACTTATGGGGTCACCTGTATTGTATTAAGCTATAGTAGAAAAAATAGTAGTATAGTGGCGCTGTTGTCAAGCTCCAGAAATCACCCGTGCGAAGCCGGAACAGAATGCTACATAGTATACACTATAATCCGCAAAAGGACTGATTTTTTGATATATTAGATAGAAATGGATAATAAATAGAATAGAATGTAATAATCGATAGAAAGGGAATTTCTATATACCTGAGCAAAGTTAAGGAAAAATAGCTGCGTGTGAGTGTGATTTAGTCCTGGTAAAGTTTCATCTGCAGAACCGTTTTGATGTAACCACTTTAGATAAGCATGAAACGCTTGCTTCACGCCGCCATTATCAGCAATATTCTCTCCCTGAAAAAAATTATAATTTTTTTTTTAAACAGTATTAAGGTTCTTACAAACAAATATAGTATGGTCATAACAACCATTGTTTAGCTCAACAGTTGTGTTTCCTTATAGAATGCATCGCAGGTTCTAACTTTAGCTACTGGTTTTCTATACCGTTCAGATCGGAACAAAGTAGTGCACGTACAGGTACCTTATAGTAGAATTAGGTACGAGGTGACGACACCTCAGATAGTTTACGAGGCAGATCTGACGTTCCACTACCCAGTGAATTTAATTAATCAATCCTTACCTATGTTAATCCCTTTTTGTTGGTTTCGTAAAAATAATTACGTGTGCATTTATAAAATATACAGTTCAAAATGGAAAAACAATAAACCACTTAGGCATATATACATACGGGGTTATTTTCCAGAGGAGGTTTAGAATAAGTAATATAGGCAAATGGTGAAGAAAAATTTATTTAAAAAACTATCAAACATCCTGTCTTTATATCTTTTAAATTCAGAATGCCTGGTGAAGCATAATTTTAACTGATTGTCATTCATAAACATCTAACGCTTACTGTTTTGCTACGCATGTACATATTCGTAAGCTACTTACTAGCATAGAGAGAGTCCTAAAATAAGAACAAAATTTTTATAGCTAAACTCTTTATACATACGACGTTATTATGGTACAAAATAAGATAGCTATATTATTTTCACTTTCTTTCTTTTACAAAGTTTTTTTGCCGTTTTTTCATTCCATAGACAACTTTATTGATGTGCCATTAGCGAAACAAAAAATACTGTAGATAAATTCATTTCGTTCATGACTCAGTAAAATTAAGAATTTTTATTAGTCCGATTCGTAATAATTATTTATATCAATAAAAGTTTATGGAAGCTTTATCTGTAATCAACAAAAAATACAACAAAAACGTAGTCGAATAATGAGGAAATTCGTACTATCGTTGTATAATTTTAAATATATCGTGATATTGTCACTATAAAACCTACTTATAATCAGTCGGTATATTTGCACCAATAATTTGGTGGAACATAAAGGGCCTTAGACTTATCATGGGTTTCACAGAGACTAATAACTCTATTTGTTTAATCGACACTTGGTTTACTTCATGAAACGTACACAGAGTACACTGCTACGATAGTACAATAACAGCGGCACGACCGCGGTTTGCCTTCTCTTTTATCGAGAGTTAGATTAACACTACCAATAAATCGATTACCCGTTTTTCTCTCTGCTCCCTCAAGATATTTCCATCGTGGATTCATTAATTCCAGCTTATTAAAAGTTCACTGATAAACATAGGCGGAATATTTGCCATTTCTCTTATGTTAGCAAGTGATTTGGCAATCGTATTTTTTTATTATTTTAAGTTGTTATCAGGAAAATGCCGTGGCCTATCTCCTGTTTCACTTCTCAATTTCGTCTTTTACGATACTTATGGGATGGTATGTAGTCTTAAAGCTTCTAAGTAACATATATATATATATATATATGGTAGAAGGTAGTGGCTTATTGCCGCTACATGGCATTATCAAGATCCAGCCTTAAGTTCATGATTTCGAAATATTTTCATTCAAGGAGATAAAGTTTTGTTGAATATAGACAATGGTTTTCCGTTTAGCAAGTGGTAAATCTATATAAATTAAAATCAATTACCGCATGTATGAAAGATCATCACTTGAGAAGGGCTGGACAGATTTTGATGAACATTCACACGCACAATTGGACCCGGTAAGTAGCACTGTTGTCGAGATCAAGAAAACAGTCGTGTGAAGCCGCGGCGGATTATTAGCGAGCATAATAAGATTGGGAATACAAATGGGATTTAACTCGCTTATGCACCGTGTGTCTGTCTAAACTAAGTATTCATACCTCCCTAGCCATTAGTTTTTAATGATTGCGAAACGAATATATGCAACGTAATATAATAATCCTCATCACTTGATTTAGTAAATAATTTACTTGATCTTTTGCATAATAATAAGACTAGTCCTATTTTCCTTATATTTTTGGACATATAATAAAGTAATAAAAAAATTAGAAAACAGAAATGAGTGTATCGATGTCGATTGTTGCTAACATTTCGAATGAAATCACTATTGATTAAAGACGTCATGTCTTGTAAAGTAACGTCACATTATAATTCTACTACAATAGGGATGTCATTTTTCTCAATAAATCAGAAGATACGAGTGTACTTACTCTCATATTTGGCATAGTATATAAAGACCAAAGGTGACCACTTTACATTTCTATTTTCACGCGTGAATTACACACATCTTTCAATTCACGTCTTGGAGTTTAAGTGTTTTATACTTTACTGATGGAGAAGGCTTCCTTCTCCTAACCTTACCTTCTGTAAACATACATGGTACCCATACATTCTGCCTGAAAGACCGTGTTGTGGGTACCCAGCGGTGTATATATGTGAATATTAAGGTCTTCCGAGAAAGTTCCAGATCCTTTATTTCTTTTAGAAACATCCGTGAAAGCTCTAAGCTCTTTTGGGTTTAATCCCTCCGGCTGGTTGCGTTTCATGTAATTGTATCTTATATAGCCTATCAAACATAAATTGTTTGGGTATCTTATCCTACTTGGCTTGTAAGATAGGAATTCTATTGATTAAACCCTTATGAGGGACTCCACGCTTACTCCAAAGATTTAGGATCTTGAGTCTAATAGCAGCTAAATTAAAATAGCTTGTATATATCAATAAGTTTTTTTATTGTTGGCTAATCGAAACACATCGCGAAAGTGAGAAATGGTTTTCTTTTCATATTGATATTATTATATTTCTTTCTTTTTTACGGACGTATGCTGTGGTATTTTCGAATATAAAAAGGGAAGTTAAAACGTTGTTCGCATAAAAATATTAAAGTATCTACTTGAAAGATTACCTGAGTGTTAACTCCGTCTAGTTTCATGTTGACTTCAGGCACAACATATCGTCCATACTGGTCAATGAGGCACTGAGCACGACGATGAAAAGCTTCAATAGCTGTGTCCGACCACCACCGGTGCAAGTTGCCTTCGCAGTCAAAGAGGCGGCCTTTGTCATCAAAGCCGTGTGTGATCTCGTGCCCTAAATAATGACTTTATTTTAGTTTTTTACATAGTTTTCCTATTTTTACGTGGTAGAGCCACACCGGAGCTATATGGGTTGGCTCGATCGGTGAAGGACCAAGCTGTCAGAGAATACCAGCATAAAACGCAGCTTAATACTGCTGCATTTCGTATGGTGAGTGTAAACAACCGGAGACCCTTTTACTGGAAAGAAGGAATTTATGTTAGTCCTCAGGAGTAACAACGCATCTGCATTTTGATTCTTAATCGAAGATAAATGTAGAAGTCTATGGGCCACAACAGCCACTTACCATCAAGTGAACTGTATATATATATACACGGTTAAAATATAAATATACTGTTTAAAAGAATCCTTCATTCATCGCACATCTCGGACCGTAGGCTGTGTGGGTGGCTTAAGAGGCAAATATGGGATATCTTTACAAACATTTTTTTTTAAAGCGTTACCCTAAGCTATTTTCACGTATCGCGAAGATAGTTTACATAGATAAATTTCACAAGGAAAAATATTCAGACCCGGAACAATTATTTGTAGGATACACAAATTTCATTGTTCAACAATCATCATTAACAGGAAATGTGACTGAAATTTGCAAAATCGCCATAATATATTTTTACATGTTAGTGCCACCATCAGTACCACTGTAAAATATACAACATAATGCTGCTGTTTAAATGGTGAGGGATAAAAACCGTACTCTTTAAATAAGAACGGGCCATTTCATATAGATACTAAAAATACCTACTATTAAATAGAATTGTACGGAAACGGAATATAAAAGTAAAGATGTAATGAATCTAAACATTGATGCCAGACATGGAATTATGATAATCGTATAGTGGAGGTGTAAAAAGATCCACTAATCCATATAATCCCGAAGGTGTCGTAATTGGCGACAGAGATAAAATCAAACATGTAAAATGAAACACTAGATGAGCAACAGCATCGTCCTGATTACCGATTTCAACGTGGTAGAGCCATGCTGCAGTTATCTTAGTAGTATAGTTGTAGCACGATTGGGTCGGCTCGACCGGGAAAGGGTCCATGCTCTTACAGAATACCAGCGTCAAATAGTAGGTTGATGCTGCTGTGTTTCGTATGGTGAGTGTAGAGAACCGGAGACCCTTTTTACTGGAAACGAGGCATTACATGTTAGTCCTCATGGGTGAAAACGCATCTACATTTTGATTCGTAGTCTCCATAGAGTTAGTTAGTTAACATAGAAGCTCCGCCCCTCCAGGAACGACGCTATTAGCCGCACAAGCATTGGCGGCAAGGTGGTGTTATTAATTAATTTGTGTAGTAGCCCTGCGTGCCACACTCTGTCAAAGGCCTTCTCCATGTCCAAGAAGACCCTCACACAGATGCGGCCGCGGTTGTGCTAATCTATGAGGGAGGTGTATGTTAGATGATATGATATAGATGTAGATGTCTATGGGCCACAGCAAACTTACCATCAAGTGGACTGTGTGCTCGTTTGTCATCCTATCCTATAAAAAAATTCAATAATAAAAAAGCGTGGCAACTGTGCAAACTCCCCTAATGAGGTAATCTATGAGGGAGGTGTATGTTAGATGATATGATATAGATGTAGATGTCTATGGGCCACAGCAAGCACTTACCATCAAGTGGACTGTGTGCTCGTTTGTCACCCTATCCTATAAAAAAAATTCAATAATAAAAAAGCGTGGCAACTGTGCAAAGTCCCCTAATGAGGTAATCTATGAGAGAGGTGTATGTTAGACGATATGATATAGATGTAGATGTCTATGGGCCACAGCAAGCACTTACAATCAAGTGGACTGTGTGCTCGTTTGTCACCCTATCCGATAAAAAAAAATCAATAATAAAAAAGCGGGCAACTGTGCAAAGTCCCCTAATGAGGTTCTATGAGGGAGGTGTATGTTAGATAATGATATAGATGTAGATGTCTATGGGCCACAGCAAGCACTTACAATCAAGTGGACTGTGTGCTCGTTTGTCACCCTATACCTATAAAAAAAATTCAATAATATAAAAGCGTGGCAACTGTGCAAAGTCCCCTAATGAGGTAATCTATGAGGGAGGTGTATGTTAGATGATATGATATAGATGTAGATGTCTATGGGCCAAAGCAAGCACTTACAATCAAGTGGACTGTGTGCTCGTTTGTCACCCTATCCTATAAAAAAAATTCAATAATAAAAAAGCGTGGCAACTGTGCAAAGTCCCCTAATGAGGTAATCTATGAGGGAGGTGTATGTTCAACAGCGGAGAAGAAGATAGAAGTCAAGCATAGTTCAAGTGTGTGCTAATTGACACACGCTGAGCAACTAAGTTTGTCAGTCGCACTTCGCAACCAAGTTTGTCAGTTGCACTTCACAACCAAGTTTGTCAGTCGCACTTCGCAACTGGGGGTCTAAAATAGTTCTAAAAACAGTAGAAATAAATTTATTTTTACTAACTTATAATTGAATATATAGTTTTCTTAACCTATGAACTTGACTAGTATTGGTAAGTGATTATGTAACCCTAGATTATAAATCACAAATAGCTTAATAAAAACTATTTTATTCTTAATAGAACCAGGCGTTACTTTGCGGAAATCCATTATATTAAAGTTGGTAAGAATTAATTCGCACACATCCACTCAACAAAATAAAATGTGTCTTACCTAGTTTGCTAGACCGACCGCTAAGTTAAGCTAGCGGTCAGCCATCGCAGAGTCAACTGAGGATGCCTCGTGTAGAGGCGAAACACGTGTCGTATTATCGTCGATGGTGTGTGTTTCCTAGTGTAGTGGTGTTGGGAGTAGTGGTGCTGGGATTAGTGGTGACGGGATTAGTGCACGCAATTGAGGTAGGGCGGGAGGTGCTCATTTTATTACAGGCGCACGAAACAAAAAACACAAAAAGCGGATGTGTGCTGAGTAATTTTTACCAACTTTAATATTTTATTCTTGCCTTAAAGCCACACGTTTTATTCTGATGAAAAGAAAGATGCTGGAAAATTATCTCCTTTGCTGTATGCATTACGAATTTATCAATTAGTGTCTCTTTCCAAGTGCATGCAAATAGCGCAACGCAACAACGTTAGGTCAATAATTTGCAGTTGATTAACACTAAATAATAAAGATAAAAATAAAGAAGATTACCACTAACCAATCACAACACCAATGCCGCCGTAGTTAAGCGAACGAGGAAAATGTCGATGATAAAACGGAGGTTGTAAAATTCCAGCAGGGAACATGATTTGATTTTTATTTCTGCTGTAGTAAGCATTGACGACCGCTGGCGCTGTGTTCCAAAGTGACTTGTTCACTGGTTGTCCGATACTATAAATAAAATATAAGATACAAAAAAAAAAACATTTAAGGTAATTTCGCACTGTAGGTAAACCTCGTACAAAGTACAATACTGCTCGTACTCTGATAATATGGTGCGTGATACATAGGATAATATAGAAGGAATACTGAAGTGAGACCCTACGGCACGGCGCGTATGTCACTAACGGTGTTGGTAAGTGAATTCTTGATTTCATTTTACAAGATTACATCGACTAATTACGAATCCTGCACAAAATTGACAAAGTAGTTATATTTTTCATTAAGTTACTAAATTTTGTCATAAATGCATCATTCATTCAAAAATCCTTTGTTGGCCTATGTCGGCCACCCAATAGATTAAATCATAGGGAGTTTTACTCCTGTTCCATTTCATTATGTTGCCTTTTGTCCACGATGTATTTATTCTAGATCTGTAATACCCAGACTAGGGTCATAAATGCGAGACATTTGGTAGTGCGATCTCTAAACTGCCTGTCAAACCTGCTGGTTGTGGCAGATCTTTCATGCATTGGGAGTAGGGTTGTCAGCATTTTTTATTTAAAATATATTATTTTCGACATTATTACATGTTAAAATATAATAGACACTTAGCGAAAAGATCCAAAGATATATTGTATTTCAATAGATGGTGTGACGACCTGGTAAAATAAGCAGGAAGTGTATAGAAGCAGGGCAAGTAACAAGGGAGCATGTTGAATGGCATTCCTTAGGAGAGGCCAATGTTCAGCAGTGAAACTGTGTAGGATCAAGATGATGATAATGGTATTTCAAATTTTTATTTTATACTTTAAAGAAATATATTTGTTGTGCTGCTTTGAACATTTATTAACAGTTTCACGCCATATTAAAATATAGGTTCCGCTTACTATATATTTTTTAGAAATATAGTAGGTACTTATAATCATAAGTGCTGATAAATCATGTGATAAACCACGTGCTGGGCAGTGGGGGAAAACATCGTGAGGTAACCTACATGTCTGAGAAATAAGAAAAAAATATTTCGAAGACATATGAAGTTCGCCAACACGCAATGGAACAGCGCGGCGGACATAATCCTCTCAGAAATGAGAGGAGGTCTGTACCCAGCAGTAGGACGTACATAGGCTGTAACTTTAAACTTTAATCATATTATACTAAGATACTTTATTGAATAGTAGGGTTGGCAACCCTAATTGTGAGAAGTCTATATCCAGTATTGGACTGTTAATGATTAATAAATAAGAAGAAGAAGGTGACTTACCGTGACTGTTCCATTTTTGTCAAATGCTGTAATATATTCAAAATATTCTCAAAGTATTTATCCGGATGAATTTTCACTTCTTTATATCTATCATCCAATTCGTTCTTGTTTAGTATAAAATCAGGATATCCGATTCTGAGCATCATTGAATCTACTTTATGAGCGGCTAGTTTTTTGGTCGAGCCATCGATCCAATCAGTCATACGAAGCAGCTCTCGGAAAGATTGCTGAATCTCCCGTGTCATGGTAAGCGTATCATTTTTACTTATCTCATCAAAATAATTCCGAACAAACATGGATCCTAATGCCATTCCCATATTTGAGTTCACTTGAGATATGCAATTTTTCCATCTTGGCGGTGCCTCTTCTCGGCCAAAAAGGATATAATAGAATCTGGATTTTTTTATAATTTTAATTTTATTTCTATTTTTTCTTCTATTAATCTTATTTATATTATAGTAAGAGACTTTTTTCTTACAAATATTTATTAAGCTGATAGTGAGATACGTGAGGGTAATATGATCACCTTAAGCTTGTCGTACTATAAAACCAAAACTAGGAGGAGGATAGATACAAAAACGCAAAGTCGTATACTTATAACTAATATATCTATTAATCAAAAATAGCAAACAATCTTTTTCTTTATTAGGAACATTTCGAAAAATCAAGTTAAAAAAACTAACTACATTACACAGTACTAGAATCGACTAAAATATTTACTGAAATTTCAACTGTTAAAATGGGTTAAAATGGCATAAATAAACAGCGTATTTAAGATAAGACTGATAAAGAGCAATCGTACCATAAAGCCTTCTATGCAAACAAAGGCAACAAGTTTTTGAGTTATAAGAAAGTGGCCATATTAACCGGATGATCATATTACCCTCACGTATTTTAGCATAATGCAAGCTCAGAGAATCGTGGGATAGAAAAAAAAGAAAAATTTTCTAATGCTTATTTCTACATCGAGGACCATGAGCAAAAAATGCGTAAGTTCACTTACGTATTTTTTTTGCTTAACTTAAGTATTTTTCTAAATTCCCAGTAGGAAGTTATTGTAATGGGTTCGATTTTGCAAATTGGAAATTTTAACATATCTCCACGGTTCAAGATCTTTAGAGTCGAATAGTATGGTTTTTAAGAGGATGTCCGTATGTGCACATGTATGTATGTATGTATGTTCGGATTCAATTTTCGCCTCGTGTATCTCGAGAACAAAGAGTGATATTGAAACGGGACCAGTTTCATTTAACGCATAATTATGTAACTTAGACCTCATTAAATTTTGAGCAAAATAGTTCAAGTCGTTGGCCGAAAAAACGAATAAAATATTAAAACAATATTTTTTTTTAGGGGATGGGGGTTGGGGGTACCCTTTTTATTACTTATTTACACTTCATTACTATCAACAGATTCTGTCAGGTTAGGTTCTATCGTCTTATCTATTTCTGTCCCCAAATACTCACTTGTACTCACAGCAGTCACCGATCTGACGTATACAGAGAACCAGCATAGTTAGACATTAAGACATTCCATCTAAGTCCTCAGAGGTGACAACGCACTTGTAGCCATCTCTGTTTAAAGTTGACTGCAGGTGTCTATTGACTGCAGTAGTCATTTACCATCAGGAGGACTGTATGTTCGTTAGTTACTTTAGTTTAAAAACAAAACGCGAGAAAGTTCGGAAAGTGGGTACTTACAAAACCGAACATAATAACACCTTTTTACTGGAATCGAGGCATTCCATCTCAGTTCACAAGGGTGACAACGCATTTGCATTTTGATCCTTAATTGAGGGCCACAGCATCTACTTATCATCAGGTGGACTGTGTGCTCGTTTGTCACTCATGTTATAAAAATATTTAGCCTTCAATATTGTAGAACAGTAGTCATAATCTAACCGTATATAATATAATAAGCTACATGCCTCGTTGGTTTAGTGGTTATAGTAGCGCGACTGATGATTATGAGGTCCCGGGTTCGAATCCCAAGTCGGGCCAAAAAACCAGTTTATTGAGTTCTTCCGTCAAGAAATTCTCAGTAGCAGCAGATGGTCCTGCGCCTGATTTCTTTCCGGTCGTGTCGATTTACCGTCCCATCGGAATATGAGAATGAGGGAATGAAGTGCACCTGTATTTCCCATACACTGGACAAAAACCTGTCCTACGCAGATGGCTAGTTTCCGTTGAGTCTGGCCTCCGTGACCGAAATTTGATCTGGAGGGCATTATTATTATTATAAGCTTCGTATAACTGCGTATCATCATCATCACAGCATATAAAAGTTCACTGCTAAATATAAGCCTCCACCACTGATTGCCTCATAGTGGGATTTTGCCATAGTTTGGACACGCTTGGCGAGCGAGTTGTCAAGCGCAGTTTTTTATTACATTTAGTTGTTATCAGGAAGATGTTGCTGCGTAACCTGTATCAATTTCCCTCTGTCACCTGTTAAGACACCCACGGGACGATATGAGGCATTGGATATTCTTACACCGCCACTACATGGTTAAACTGAGTAACTATAGTGGAAATTGTAACTTGTGTTGTGCAAGTACACATCGTTTTTTTTTAAGATGCAAGGAAGGAGAGTAAGTAGTGCTATGGCCCATAGACGCTTACAACTGTTTTCAATTAATAATTAAAACGCAGATGCGTTGTCACCCCTCAATATACGAAATACAGCATCATCATGGTGCTACTTTATGCTGGTGTTTTGACCTAGCGTGTCCTTCGTTCCCCGATTCCTTGTCCCGATTTAGCCGGCCCATTCGTGTTGCAGCACTAAAATCATCTATTAAAGTAATTCCAAAATAAATGTATGCAAGGAAAGTGTAACATGTTTGAAGAGCTTTTTTTTAGTATTATAAGCCAGGCTGCAAGCCGAAGATAGTAAAGCGCATCGACTTAGCTTAACAAGATAGACGAATATCAGTTGATTGATTACGGAATTATAACGACGTTGTACCGTGATTATCATCAGCCCGCAAATAGCCGTAATATACTGCCGGTTATGGGTCAATCCAACAATAGCTTGTTCTGCTCGGGGTCACCGAACCGAGTATTTGATATCTGAGTATCTACACTGATAGGTCAGGCATACCAGCGTGAAGTAAGATGTTCAAAGACAACCATTGGTAACGGAGAAATTCTTGCAGCTCTTACTCTTGTCTCGCTCTTAAACTCTCGAGTGTTAGTGCTCACGAAACGCCGATATTCGCCAGAAGTGGTGGCTTCCGCTGCGATTAAAACCTTTGCTAAAGTTTCCTTGCTGTTAAAGATTACAAGCATAATAAAACTGTTATTCCACGGGCTGCGTGCTATCATCTACGCTATTTCTTCTGCATATTATATATGTTGCAAACAGGTAATATACTGCCGGTTATGGGTCAATCCAACAATAGCTTGTTCTGCTCGGGGTCACCGAACCGAGTATTTGATATCTGAGTATCTACACTGATAGGTCAGGCATACGCGAGATAGTTATGAGTCGGATGATTCAAAGACAAGACAATAAATTTTTTCTTGGCAAATAAGAGAACAATTTCTTAGTTCTTACTGTTGTTTCGCTGATTGAAAACGATCATCAAGGTTGTTAACCCTGTGCCTCACGAATCGCCATAAAAGATAATTCGCCAAAGTGTTGGCTTCCGTCTTCTCTATTAATTTTACGAGATGCTGTAAGTAATGATAATAAAACTTTATTCAGTTTGTACTTAAGGATAACATTACATTTATATTATAGTAAAATTAAATACAAACCGAAACGTAGTTATGAGCAAATAGTACTATCATTTCATTTTCATGTATTGTTTTGTTCATTACAATACACAAATATTTTATCCAATCCACCTCAGGTATAAGTTCTTCAAGTTTCCAAATTGGCATTCTTTGGTAAATCTCAGATACATTGCGCCTGTCCTCCGGAGCCGATGTAATTTTAGCAAGACTTGTGGGGTGAACAGTATTGACATTAAACATAAGAAAAGACACAAAAAAAATTTTTTTCACACATTCATACTTACTTTATTTCAAAAGCGATAAGTTTGTCCGCACTTTTTCTTACGTGTTCTGGATTTCCGCCTAGCAGTTGTGCGATTTTTATCAAATAAGTTCTATATGCTTCTAAGTATACTTTATTTGATTCTTGTAAAAAGTATTCTCTTGTAGGCAAGCCTATATGTTATAAAAGTAATTTCATTAAAATTGTATTCAAAGCCTATTATATTGACCACAAAACATAATATTTTATTACCTAAACTGGTTTGGTCAAACTGTATAACAAATTCGTCAGAATTCTTTATGTCTGGTCCTACCCATTCTGATATTAAAATATCATTATTATAAACTCGCAGTTTTGCCATAAGTTCTAACCAATCAAATTTACTGTCATTCCAGTTTGTATTTAACATAGGCCAACCGCCTAGTAAATCAAGCAAATCTAATAAAGGTTGGTGACCCCGCTTCTGTAAAATTTCGTAGTTCATACAAGACTTAAATAAAAATCTTGATTTGAGAGCTGCATCACCAAACGCTGGATCATCTTCTTTGTCAGGTACCTGAGGAGTTTGAATTTGCTTAATTGGCTTTTTATGTTCTTGTTTTTTCTTCACTCTCATATAGTACATTTGTAGTTTTCTGCCTATTTTTGTTACTTTATTAGCATGTCGTATAGATCTTTTTCTAACGTCTTGTCTACGTTTTGTTTTGTTAACAGCTATTTTCTTATCAGGTTGCTTGTATGTATCTTTTCTCGTTCTATTTTTATTAAATAAGTGGTCATGTATACCATATTTCATGATCCAAATAGGTTTAAACTTAGTTCTTGACTTTTTATCTAAATATCGACGTATACGACTAACGATTTCAGAATTTTCCTGGGAATATATTTTTTTAATATTTTTCACAGAAGTTTTATTCCAAATTGTATTTACTTGTTCTTTAAATACTGTGGGTTTCATCATGTTATCGTTGTAGTGAAGCGGTTCTTTCGGGCATTTGAGAGGAAAATTCTGAGTCAAAAAATTATCATTAAGGTCTAGATGTGGTCCTGGATACACACTCTGTACATTCTCTGAACTCTTAAATTCTAACAAATCCTTGAGCACTCTATCAAGGTTTTCCCGTAGCATTTCAAATGTATCATATCTACGAATAAAAAATATTCACTATTATGGATCTTTGTTATTTGACAATAAATTAATTATTAATATTATCGTGGGATATTAATATAGTTTTCTCATCAGGCTGGGCTACATAAATAGTTAAATAAATAAATGAATAATACAAAAATAAATAAAAGCTCAACTAGATGGAAGCTCTCGGCAGGGGAGATCAAACGGCCGAGGGTTAGGAAAGGGAATTTTTGTATTATTATTAAATACGAGCCGTAGATGACCAGGACAACTTTGCTTTATAATCCATTCAGACAATCAAATCAATTTTGAACGCTGCTGTCAGTATCACTTAAAATTATCAATTACGAATTTAAGTATTAACGTGCTAGGTGGTAAAGGAAAACGTCCTGAAAAATCCTGTGAAGCTGATAACTTACTATAATATTCCATTGATTTAACATAAGTTAGACTTTCCATAAGTATCACCCTTGAGGATTTTTGTACAGATAGAGAGATGAAGATAGTATAGGCACGGACGTAAAAAATAAATAGGCAGTAGCATAGTAGGATATCCGCACTGCAGAGTCAAGAAGTTTAAGACATATATAATATGTAAGAAATGGTCCCATTAGGCGAGAACGTTATAAGAAAATGGACTGAAACATAGATATTCGTAGGGATACAAGAAAGAGCACGCGGGAAAGAGCCCCAAGCAAGTACCGCATGCTCCTCCCAAGATTTATCCCGTGTAGCCAAAATATTGAAAGAGCCATGGTTTTCTGGGCCGTGCACTCGTGCCACCAGACTACTTAACCATGAAGAAATAGACAAATTTTTATGTTCTCAAAGTTATTTAACAAAACCTGCATTATTTTTAGCATCAAATACCATTTTACTATGCTTATATTAATCCATTAGGACATAAGAACCTATAGTGTTAGTGATAAGTTTGGCTTTATAAATAAGTATCTTGTAGCTTACCCTGCCTTGTCCGCTGGTATAGGATTAAGAGCAGCCCAATTACCGCACGCGTATTGGTAAAAATCGTGACAAGGATCAGCTTCGGCATCCATATATTGCTTCATGATAGAAGCTTGGGTGTTTCTTATGGTTTCTCGGTCCCCTTGACCTTTCCAAAAGGCGTGAATACCTATTATAATATTAAAAGACGTTAAATATCACTGTTTTTGTAGTTAGCTGTGTGGTGGAAGCGTAAGAGAATCAGTCTATTTCATCCTGTGGACGTCGTAAGAGGTGAGAGGAAAAATATTATAGCTTTCAAAAATGGCAGTATAACCATCTCATGGTAAACTCGGCGTACTATACCTAGACCGACTATGGGTATAGATACCTATAATTAAGTTTCTCGCGGAATACGTACCTATTATCTATCCTAAAACTTAACCCCTCCTTTATAGCCTTTCAGATTTTTTGTTCAATTAGGACTTTGTACTCATCCAAAAATGTGTTGCGGACCTTGCGGTGGTGGTAGCTGTGGTGAGGGTTGCAGCGAACCCTGTTGTCTATGCATCATTATCCAGAAGTCCTGTACGAATATTTGTTAAGAATTTGTTGTCATAATAATAATAATAATGACCTCCAGACCGAATTTTGCCCACGGCGGCCTGCCTCAGCGGTGGCTAGACATCGGCGCAGAACAGGATTATAGTGCCTAAGTGTATGCGCAAGCACAGGTGCACTCTCTATTCCCTCACTCTCATAATCCGATGGGACGGTAAACCGACACGACTGGAGAGAGATCAGGCGCAGGATCAACGGCTTTACGTAGTTTCCGAGGCACGGGGGTGAGACACCGCCAATTTCCTGACTCCGGGCAACTACTGAGAACTTCGTGACGGAAAACTCAATAATTCGTTTTTTTCCGGCCCGACCCGGGATACGAACCCAGGACCTCAGCTCAGATCAGCAGTCGTAAACCACTAGACCAATGAGGCAGTCATATTCAGTGTCTGCAACACTTCGTCTCACCATTTATATTAATTGGCGCCGTTACGTGAAATAAATATGTATAAGTAGTATATGAACGTTAGGATACGCTGTGTTTGGTATTATAAACACTTTTTTATATTCCACATGGGCCTATATCTTAAAGTATCTTTATTTCTGTGAATGATATCTAATGTCTGAAATGTTCATTACACGACGAGGGTCTATTCCAAGAAGTGCCCTACAACCCAAACTTGATATTTACGCAACATATTGCTGCCACCAGTCTTATTCTATTTTTTCCATTTTCAGATTCCACTGGATGATGTTACTCAATCACTACGGCATTTTTGTCTATCTACAAGATTAGTCAAGTATTTAAGTATAATAGTTAAAGTAAGATAATTCTAAATTTGTCCACTTTAATAACTAAGCCTTAGCCATACTTGCCCACTTTAGTCTAATTTTAGTAAACAAACGTTATATAACTACGTATCTAGTGAATCTAAATAAGAAAATTAAGTACGCGGTACCCGTATAGGATTTAGATGGCTTGTATAAATTTGCGGAAGAACCCATTTCACCTTCTTCTAATTCAGGCTGTCGTCGAACTTGTTCCACAACATCATCTAATGGACCACGATCTACGTATGTCTCTGGATATACCACACTTCATTACAGTTCGTGATAAAGGGAACATGAAAGAAAATAAACAAATTTAGTAATTAGTATTAATGGCTGGAACCCACCACCACTAGTGATATATGAAACTGTATAAAACACTTCAAAAAGAGCGTAAAATAGGTAGCATAATGGACGCTATACACGGTCAGTTCAACTGATCGTTCCAACTGATCAGTTCAAATTATGACCGTTGATATTTTTTAAAATATCGGATTTTGGATATATCGATAAATAAACTTATATGTAAAACTCCGATATTGATATATTTATAATTCGATATATCAAAAAACCGATATTTTAAAAAATATCAACAGTCTTAGTTTTAAGTGATCAGTTGGAATGATCAGATGAACGGACTGTGTGTGTCGTCCATAACATATAGCGGGATGTATTTTGTACAGTTTCATATAGTAAAAACTCGTGTTATAAAGCGCTGTCGTATTTGGTGTGCTCCGGCCGTAATGTATCAAATTTGAGGACTATTAGCTTTCTTTAATTTACTTTTTGTCATGGTACTTTTCGCTGCTGTCTGTTATATCGTGTTCATCGTCAGCACTTTCATTTTCTTTATATTCATCATAATATTCGTCATCCAAGTTTCCCCGTGTTGAATAATCTTGACTATTGATTAAAAATATTTTATTAATCATTTCGATATTTTGTAAACTTGGTAGGAATTATAAATTTACTAATAAATTATATATAACAAATCTTTCTTCTAAACTGTATTACTTACATATAGTCCTTGGAAGAAAATGAAAAATTACTTTTACGCTTAACACGAGTTGGCGTTTCATATTTATTGTCCAGATTACCCCAAATAAAAGTGTCACCTGTCAAACTTTCCTCGGGAAGTTCCCTTTTAGACTTTGAATTTTTGCGCGCTAACACTATATCTTCAGCTGGTAAAAAAGAAGTTCTAAAACCCTGAAATACATCTCTCTCGTCGGGATCTATGCCTTCGAGTTTTGTGTATGTTTGAGGGATATATTTTACTGAAAACTGGTCAGATGGATCGCCCAAAGAGTTCACTGATCTTTTTATAATTAAGTATATAACAGTTAAGGATGAAATGAAAGATAGTATAGAAATAAATCGACAAATATTAGCACTTTTCGGTCTTACTGAAACCTGAATTGGGTTTCGCGTGTCAACTCGCGTCATGGCAATAGCCAACTGACGTTGTCATGTCATCGTTAGAGATTCGTAACTAGAACGTCAGCCTGTGTACGTACAAAATTGATGTACGCTAACTAAATAATTGCCTTTGTGCATTTGACCCTGAGATCAAATTTAAAGGAGGCATACACTTTAAAAACAAAATGAAGTAAGAGAATTTTTGGAAATATTCTAAGTCAACCAAAAGACGTTACGTCCTAAGGTCTACAATTTGTAGCATATTACCCATTAAGTCTAAGATCAGCTGCAGCGCGCATTACATAATTTCACTTTGATGTGCTGACTTACACGTTCTCGGTGATTAAAAGAAACATTGAATATGTGAAGTTTTCCAATACAAATTGTAGAAGTACTTTTCTTAACCTCTACAATAAATACGACTAGGATTTTACATAAATTGACATCGAAAAAACCTTAATATGATTTAAATCCTTTTACCCTTACAAGACATACTTCACGTTATTAAAACTTCATTATACCTTATAGACACAACGTTTCACTTTATAATCACAATGTACATTATCGTCATTACAGTCCTTCACAAGTCTACTGCTTAACTTATATTTCCCCCAAGTAATGCCACAAGAAGCGGTCCCTAACCACTTGCACCCATCGATTTTCTGCAAGTCTTAAGAGGTCGAGGCTTAGGCTTCCACTGTAGTAGAACTTTTATTTCCCATCGGTTTTTAGTTTTCCGAGCTATAAGGCTATCCTACTTATTAATGTATATTAATAAGTAGAACATGAACTTAATGGACCAATGGATTACTTAAATTTAAGATTAGCCTTAAGGGATTCAAAATGAATCTGTCATATATCTTACAGAACTGAGAATGGATGAAGAAGGAAAACTCTTTTTTGCATGATGGAATGAATTGATAAATGCCGATAACTCAGAAACAGGGTTTATGACAGTCTTTGGTGAAAAGTATACTTGTGATGAGCAGCAGTGGATATGACGGACATTTAGTATTGTTGATAACTTGTTTAGATAAAGCGAAAAGGTACGATTGCTGTATCATCATCATCGTCCGCCCTACAATGTCCACTACTAGGGACTTCCCCTGTTGTGGGTGTTTTTTTTTAATAATACTGAAGTGACAAACGAAACTACAATCCACCTGATGATAACTGTCTACTGCAGTTTATGCAGCCAACTTCAAGCAAAGACTACAAATGCGTTGTCATCTCTGAGGACTAAGGTGGAATGCCTCACAATCTGTAATTATTCTGGGCCTATACTCTTCAAAATGTGACTGAAAGTTGAAAACGTAGTAGTTACCTATTCAGACGAAATTCAGTGATAGTAATAAAGTTTAAAATAATAAATTAAAAAATACTCAAATATGCAGGTATATAGGTCATGGTCCTTAAATGTTGATATAAAAAATAGGAGTTCGAAAATCTTTTTTCTTTTTTCTTCCATTTACAATTATTTGTAATGATTTACTTTTTCATAATTTATAAGAAATGTATGATTCTTTTTTGATTCCAGATGGTAAGTGGTTGCTGTGGCCTATAGATATGTACATCTATTCTCGATCGAATGCGGAACCTCTTACGAATCAAAATGTAGATGTGTTGTCACCCGTAAGGAATAAGCTGGAATGCCTAGTTTCCAGTAAAATGGGTCTCCGGTTCTCTACACTTAACATACGAAACACAGCAGCGTTGAACTGCTACTTTACGCGCGCTGGTATTCTGTGAGAGCGTGGTCCTTCCCCGGCCGAACCGACTTATTCGTGTTACAACTATACTACTAATATAGCTGCAGCAGCTCTACCACGTGAATGATGTGATCTTTATTAAAAATGATGAGGCATTATGTAAAGCTTGACAGCTATTGTTGACACACCACATGTTAAGCTTATATTGCATTACTGGTTTCACAGTTTATTATAACGTGTAAAAAATAGGTGTATTTTTATTTATGGTGATTATATGTATTTTATTTCTTCAAATGTGACGTCTTTATGGGAATCATAAGAACGTATTTTGAAAACATTTTTATTGTTGGCCAAAAAAAAGACATACCAATGACGTGTGAATAAAATTATAAGACAAGTATATAGTCTTTGGCTGTTCGGCAGAAAAAAGCCCTAAGAAGCGCTTGTAAGCAAAATGGCGAAACTATACAGTTTTCGGCCAGGGCACGTTTGCTAACTTCAGTAGCGCTGACACAATCCGCCATTTTGCTTATTTATTTTGTTTGTTCTGAAGTAGTTTATAAGTTGTTTTGTGCGATTAGTTTCAAGTAATGTAATGGCATGAATAAACATATTATATATGTTATAAAAAAATCATGATTGGTAAGTTTTAAATGAATACTTGTCAAACATATATTTAAATTAGGTTAGTTTCCCCGCTTAAAGCTAACTTAGCGTCCTAGAGGAAAATATCTATTTACCATTTGATAGTGCTTACCGTTTACGATCGCCATTTTGCTTACAAGCGCTTGCTAGCGCTTTTTTCTGCCAAACACAGTCTTTGATATTTGATATGTATTATTATTTACTGTCACCGAAGTAGTAACATATCCACAGATATTAGAATATATTTTTAAATTTAATTAGAAAGTATGTCGCTTGAGGAAATAATCGAACAAATAAATTTAATAAATGCATTTATTTTGGAAGATACGACGTTTGGTAAATATGTTGTACAGTACAATAACTGATACTACCTATTGTAGTAGTTTCAATAAATAAAGAAAAACTTAAATTTGTTAAGATGTATTATTTAGCTGGACTGTGCTCAGTAATTAGTTGGACTGGTCTAGGTTCAGCAGTGGGCCTACAGTTTGCTGTAGTAGGTAACTAGTTGTAGTATTACTAATGGTGTGTGGCAAAATAGTTGCGTTTTATTTCACCCTGATGAAATATAGGCTAAATCATCCCATAAAAGTAAAGTTACCGCCTATATACGTCCCACTGCTGGTCAAGGCCTCCCCTCATTTCAGGTTTAGGGCAAGGAAGTATCCACCACGCTGCTCCAATGCGTGTTGGCGAACTTCACATGTCTTCGAAATATTTTTTTTTCTTATTCATCAGACATGCATGTTTCCTCACGATGTTTTACTTCACCGCCGAGCACGTGGTAAATCAGCTCTTAAAATTGCAATTAACAATTTCTGCCAGGGTTACTCGCGTTCTGTTATATTTACAGCGAGCGTTAACCGTCTGAGCTACCACGGCAAATCATCCTATACTTATAAGTAAATAATGCGGACACTGCTCGGCGATAAAAGGCAGTTATTTCGATATCACAGACAAAAACTTAAATATTATTGATATGTATAGTTATATTTAGAAAGCGTTTAATCCACAAACAGTAGCTGTAGCGAATTCGGTTTTTAAATAACTGTGTGCAAGTAAGCAAATATCTAAGTAAATAAGGCAAAGCATGCCACTTTGCAAAATATGATTTTGTAATAGTGGTTACCTGTAAGAAGGTAATGTAGTGTAATGTATAGCATATAATATATGTATATACGTAGTATGTAACCCTTGCAGTAATAAGCCGTATTTTATCTCTGTGTTGTGTGTCGTCCGTTGGTACTTAATCCTAATATAGTGAAAAAAAAATTAGCCATTTTAGCATAAAATTAAAATATATTTTAGTATATTCTAGAATGGTTTTGAACCATCGTCTCGACATAACAAATGTACTGTGTGAATACAATCTTACACAATCAAGTCGTCCAGAAGTTACATGCTTACTAACAGATGCACCAACGGTTATAATAAAGATGCAAACCTACGCAATTAATGTAATAAAATTAAACGAATAAAATAAATCTTACAATTTACATTTTATTTACTGATTTCAAACAAATTGCATGTAATAATATTTCAGAAGAAATAAGTGAAGATAATGAAGAGTTTAATAACCACTTGCAAACCATGAAAGATTGGTTCACGAGAATTTCTTATGTAAACAAGAAATTATTCTTATTGGCTCTTGTGGAAGACGTACAATGTGCGTGGACCTTATCATTGCTGTTAAAGTCTATATGGAATTGTCGTCTCAAAGATTCAGTGCTTTCTATTAGCGGGTAAAATATAAAATATCTTATTTAACGATCTTCTTAAACTCTCCGTTCTGGCTCAAAACCCTAATTTGATCATTTTAATTTGGTTTTCAGTTTTCTTTTGTAAGAATATAAGTGCCTACTTTGTACCTTTTGTACTATGTCATACCTAACCTAAAGCGTCATCAATTCAATTATTTACTAAGCAACTACATAGAAAGAACTCGAAACAAAGCCCGTAAAAATATTGTTCAAGTTCCTTAGATTGCAATTTAACGTTTTTCCGCAACGTGAGAACAAGAAATACAAAAAACATCCTCTTATTTTGACAATGCAAATATTATAAGCATCATAGTTGGCATAGTATACTTTATTGAAGAAAATAGCCAGTTATATTATGAAGAACCAATAAAGATTTAGTGGTTGCCATATAGTGTAGACGAGAAAACCAGAGATTTGAGTTTGAAAAGCTTACGGGGACAATCAATTACTTTAGTAATTAAATAACGTTCCGCGGTGTAAACTCGTTACCTCTAGCACCCTCTTAGTGCTTTGACAGTGACTCCGGAGCAAATCGCTTCTTTCTTTCTTGAGGTCACTTACTGGGTATTCAGGTGCCTTTGAGCTCAAAGGCTCTGCTTTTGATGATGAAAGGTATCGACAAGGAGGTGCCATCAGGAGTTGAGAGTTGTTACTATTGAATATAATACATGTGAAGAGATCCATCACAATGAGAAGCACAGTGGTAGATGCAAGTGTTTACCGGGGCCCAACGTAGGGACGTTTTTTTTTTGTAAATTTAAATTCTGGATTTAAGGAAGCTCGAAACATCCAAAAATATATATATATATATGCTTACTAGGCAGCACCAACAATGAATATTGTATGGATATAAGTTTTTTGATGAAATAAATATATATTTTGATTTTGATTTTTTGAATTTGTTCAGACGTTGGTAGCATCGGACATCTATGTCTACTATTGTGTTGCAGCGTATAAGAAAAGAAAAGTTACAAGATGAAGGTGTAAAAGCAAAGTATAAATGTAGACTGATGGAAAATATTATGGTTAAAGATATTTTATTCTCAAAAGAAATATATTCAATTAATGAGAGGTTACAATATTCAAGTTATAAATGGGTTATGAGCATACAGATAGCAAATATATATATATATATATATATATATATTAACATTAAAAAAGGGAGGAAAGAGTTTCGTGACATACAACTTCTTACTAGTTTAGGCATACAACTTAATACTTCCAATATTATCGTTTTGTGTATTGATGTACAAGTTAGCAATCTTTTAGTAGATAGTAATAGATAAGGTGGGTAGTAAGTAAGGTATTTCTTATCGTTACCGATAACGCTGATTAGCGGTCGGCATATGGACAGGGTCGGATTTAGAACTTATTCATTATATGTTGTTTTAGTTTGCTTTTAAAGATGTTAAAACTATTTAATATTTTTATTTCTTGTGGTAGTTTATTATATATTTTAACTCCATCAAAAAGTATGCTCTGCTTACCATAGTTTGTTCGTACCATAGGTATGTAAATATTATTAGTGTTGCGAAGTAATTTCTTTCCTTTGCCTTTATTTGTTATAAATTTTAATTGTGTGTGTATTTTATTATCTAAAATTTTCTTTATTAGAATACAAGTATTATAGCAATATGTTTGATAAATATTCATAATTTTGGTTTCACTGTACAGTTTGTCTGTAGGTGTAAAGAAGTTATAATTGAATAATAGTTTTAATTTGGTTTATTTGTAGGTCCTTTAATGTTGTTTTGTAGGTGCACCCCCAAATTTCAACCAAATAATCCAGATGTGGTTTGACTAAAGCATTATAAATTGTTCGGCGAACACGGTAAGGAAGGCATAGAATACAACCATAAAGTGAACCCAGTAGAGAAGATAGTTTCGACCTTATTTTGCCTATATGACCCTTCCATGACAAGGTTTTATCTAGTACTAAGCCTAAATATTTCTCTTCGGCTGACTCGTGTATTGTAGAGTTGTAAATGGTGAGAGGGGAATAACTACAAATGTTTTTGTTTTTGGGTTTAAATATCATGTACGAGGTTTTTGATGTATTTATTGTAAGCAAATTGGATTGGAACCATTTATGTACTATATTTAGATCTACTTGGGCTCGTGCGATAACTTCTTCTATGGAACGTCCAAAGTAGAAAATACAAGTATCATCTGCATATAAAGAAATTTCGCCATTTAATTTAAAATCAGTTATGTTATTTATATAAAAAAAAATCAGGAAAAGAAGTGGGCCCAATATAGAGCCTTGGGGAATACCGTACGTAATGGGTTGTGGGGAACTTTGATAGTGACCAATCTTTACAATTTGATATCTTTTATTTAGATAACTTTCAAAAATTTTTAAGGCATGGCCGTTAATACCTATATGAGAAAGTTTCTTTAATAGTAGTGAGTGACTTATGGAATCACATAGAATACCAGCGTAAAATATTAGTGGCAGACGAAAATATTAGTGGCTTGGATGAATATTGTTTGAACGACTTAGACTTGCAGAGCATATGGGATAATGTTGAGAAAGGTTTGGTGGATGCAACAACCAGAGTATGTGGTGTAAATAAGAGAACGCACAAATGGAAAAATAATACGTTATTGTAGGATGATAAGGTACGGATGGAAGTCGAATCAAAGAAAAGAGCATGACTAGATTTACTAGCAACTAAAGGTGGTAATTTTGGCAGTATGGATTATGAGAATGAAAGAAAAAAACAGTCTTTAGACGTCTAGTATATAAGAGTAATAACAGAGTAAAGGAATTAGTTGGAAGAAAATAGCAAGAAAGAACGGATAAAAATAACTTCGAGACAAATATTAAAATGTTCTGGAAACTCGTAAGTATTATAGGAGAAAAACAGCCTACACTAAATACTATCCGAGACGAGGATGGTTGTATTTTTAATGATGAAGTTTCGAGCTTAAAAGGACGTAGGGATTATTTGAAAGTGTGTTTATTAGTGAAGAGACGTTTAAATTAAATGAACTAGGAATTTCGAAAGAAGAGGAAAGAGGAAGGAATATAAGTATAGATGAAATAATAAAAGCAAAGCATGAAAGCATGTAAGCTAGCCGGGTATGATAGAGTATCTCTTAAAATACTAAGGGTTGGAGAAGGAGTGGTGGCAGGCCTGCTGTGCACTTTATTTAATTTACGTTGAGAACAGAAGTGGGTACTGGGAGAATGGTGCAAAGCCATTATAGTCCTAATATATTTTTTATAGGTTAGGGTGACAGACGTGCATACAATGCACCTGATGGTAAGTGATTGCTGTGGCCCATAGACATCTACATCTATCCTCGATTACAAACAAAATGCAGATGCGTTGTCACCTGTGAGAACTAAGATGGAACGCCTCGTTTCCAGTAAAAAGAGTCTCCGGTTCTCTACAGTCACTATACGAAACACAAGAGCATTAAGCTACTATTTTACGCTGGTATTACGTATGGTATTCTATGTGTGTTTAACGTGGTCCTTCCCTGGTCGAGCCGACCCATTCGTGCTACAACTATACTACTAATATAACTGCAGCATGGCTCTACCACGCAAAATAATATATAATATAATAATATATAATAAATATAAGGGCAAAGGGTCACAGCAGGACTGTTTCTATAATAATGCTGTTGCCATAATACCTACATGGTAGCGTGGCTCTATCACGTAAAAATATATTATATCATCCTCAACATGTACCTATCACCTTAATTAGACTGCAGCAAAGTTCAGTTGGAGTACGTATTAATATGCCTACATACATACATTGGGATTTCTACTTTTTTGGTTTTCTGAACTTTCTCCCTAGTTATCAATGACAGACTTACACATTAAGAGCTGCTCTCAAAATTTTATTGACATTGACTGTCCCTGTTCAAACTTTAATATGCTTAGTAAGTTAACTAACAAATCAGCTATCTCTGAGTTTATTTTCATACAAGGACATATTTCTATATGAATAAAATTAATGTTATTTTTAGAGCCGTAACACTAAGCAGCTATGATCAAGCTCCAATGGATCACAACAGAACTGCTGCACCAGTATCAATTCTTAGACAAATTATGGCAATTGATAGGCAGTGGTTTCGTTCTTTACAGTCAGTGAGTATACTTTCTTATAATGTTGGCAATTTCTCAAATTTATTTGCTGTGTCACATAGTTCAGTCCGCGCTGCTCTATCCTACATTTGCTTTGTGGACACCCCTTTTTACAAGCCCAGGAAAAGAAATGAATGAAAAAAGACAAGTAGCTTCCATTTAATAATTGTGTATGGTATTTTTATCAATGCAAATATTTTTTATACTATTGATTCGGTATGGATTGATAAAATAAATGAACCGGTTATCTAACTTTAGAACGATCTACCGTAACTATGACCGCGGCAAAGATATCGCGTGGCGACTCCTCATGGCTTAAGTAGTGTAGTGAGATACCCTAACAGATGGAGTAACACCCTGATGTGAAAGGTGTGAACTTAATGTCCACGTTCCATCAGTCGACTTGCAATAATGATGATAATTATGACTTTCCAAAGAAGTTAGTGATTGAAAATTCAAATTATTTGATACAGTTTGAATTTTATGAACAACATTGACGTAATCTCAATGTACAATTGATTTAATATAGAGAATTATATTTTTTATGACATTTTGTTTGTTTGTAATGAATTCGTGTGAAAAACTAGCTTTAAGTCACACCAGTGAACACCAGCATTCACAGGCCCAGGCTTAGTGTCTGATGCTCTTACTTGTGAGCAAACTTGTTAATCAATTGCATGACTTTACGTAAAGCCCACAGGGATGAAGCTTCATAAGAAACATATTGAGTCAAGATCGAGCGAAAGGCTTCAGTATGTCCATGGTCATGGTTTCGCCCTTGGTCGTTTGCCTATGTCCATCATATTTCGTAATTTCTTCCTTACACTTATATTCCTTACATGACATGATGGTGTGATTTTTTATAGCATTGGGTGACAAACGAGCACACAGTCCACCTGCTGGTAAGTGGATGCTGTAGCCCATAAACATCCACATTTATCCTTAATTAAGAATCAAAATGCAAATGCGTTGTCACCCCTGAGGACTAAGATGGAATGCCTCGATTCCAGTAAAACTGTTAGACGTATCTGTGAACCTATGCCTAATAGAACGCTTTTGCTTTTTTTACTTTTTATAAGACAAGGGTGACAAACGAGCACACAATCAACCGAATCAAAAGTGCATCTGTCCAATAGTATTTACATTTAACCTCGATTAAGAATCAAAATGCAGATGCTTTGTCACCCTTCAGGACTAAGATGGAATGCCTCAATTCCAGTAAAACGGGTCTCCGGTTCTCGACACTCACCATACGAAACACAGCAGCATTACGCTGCTATTTTACGCTGTTATTCTGTGCGAGAATGGTCCTGCCCCGGTCGAGCTGACCCATTCATGCTACGACTATAATATAGCTGCTGCTTGGCTCTACCACGTGATGTATTTTGTTACGCTTTAAACACACAGTTTTACCAACAGTATCAATTGCTGCATACATAAAACTTCTAAACAAATGGCCTATTTAGATATTTGAAATTTTATTTTATAAATATATATGTAAAAACTTATTTTAGGAAAATCAAGCTATAGTGTTAGCAGAGTTGCTGACTGTAGCTGGAGGTCCTGTACTCTGGGAGGTTCTTAAGCGCGCACAAAACATCTACAATTGTTACCGCGAATTGGAGCTACAAAATTTGAAAGAATCAGTAAATGTTACAAAAAACCTGACGGACAAGAGCAAAACATTGAATCGTAATTTGGTTTGTTTTATATTATATTTATTTTTAAAGTGTAATTCTTTATTTTTATGAAAATGGGTCAGTTCTAAGGTAGCCTCTTTAAATGCAGATTTTTTAATCGAATTTTAGGTAATTCACCGTATTAGGACATTACAAATTATTTGTTCTCGATTCTGAATATGTTATTTCAGATAAGTCCCTCGTCCAAGACCAATGCAAATTATTAGGTACGAGACTGTAGCTGGAGCCGTCTCGTACCTAATGATCTACGCCCCTCTTGATGAAAAACTATTCAAGTTCTAATATTTCCTGAATAGATGAAAATCTTGAGTCATGGTAGCTCAGATGGTTAGCGCTCGCTGTATAATTTCACAGTAAGCGAGCAAACCGGGTTCGATCCCCGCCGGCACCAATGAAATTGTCAATTGCAATTTTAAGTGCTGATTTAACATCGTGAAAACATCGTGAGGAAATCTGCATGTCTGAGACATAAGAAAAAAAATATTTCGAAGACATGTGAAGTTCGCCAACACGTATTGCGGCAGCGCGGCGGACAATTCCTTGCCCTAAAACCCTCTCAGAATTAAGCGGGGAAGCCTGTGCCCAGGAGTGGGACGTATATAGGCTGTAACTACTTTTATAGGATGATGTAGGCTTTATTTTATCAGAGTGAAATAAAACACAACTATTTCGTCACACACCACTAGTAATACTACAACTAAGTACTACAGCTCATTGTACGTCCATAAGTTAAGTTACAGCCTATATATATAGGCTGTAACTTAACTTTAGATGAAAATCTTTGTGGAACTTCCATTTTATGTTAAAAACATAATAATAATTATTATAAGTACATTAGAGAATAACACTGCATTAATTTTGGGTAAAACGATCAAATTAAAAAAAATATGAATATATAGATTAGAAATATTTTAACATCTTTTGATTATACAAAAATTTTGATAATCGTTATTGGTATTATAGAAAAAGGATGTATCTCGACGTAAAAGTGGGGACTCTGGGCAAGCGACGTTAAAGCTAGTTCCACAAATCAGCCAAGCGCAAAAGCAGGTATAAATCTCATATATTACTCATAGAAGTATGAAGAAGGAGTCGTAGAGTAAAATGTAATTAGTAAAGTTATTTCAATATGGTCCTTTACCACTGGCCGCTTGAGAAAATTTGCTTAACATCCTATGATTTTTTTAATAGGATAGGGTGACAAACGAGCACACAGTCCACCTGATGGTAAGTGGTTGCTGTGGCCCATAGACATCTACATCTATCCTCGATTACAAATCAAAATGTAGATGCGTTGTCACCCGTGAGGACTAAGATGGAATGCCTCATTTCCTGTAAAAAGGGTCTCCGGTTCTCTACACTCACCATACGAAATACAGTAGCATTAAGCTACTATTTCACGCTGGTATTCTGTGAGAGCGTGGTCCTTCCCCAGTCGAGCCGACCCATTCGTGCTACAACTATACTTCTAATATAACTGCAACATGACTCTACCACGTATAAAAGAGAATAAAAGAGAAGAGGATTTCTATGTTCAATACAATTCGTAACGAAAATATCAGTAAGCTGAAGTGGCAATAGGTCGGCCACGTATTCTAAAAATTAGAGATGAAACGGATATCCGGTAACTATCCGGTATTCGGCCTATCCTACCTAAAATTACTATCCGACCGGATACCGGATAAGAAACAGCTATCCGGCCGGATACCGGATAAGAAACAGCTACCGGCTGGCTACGGGATATAAAAAAATACACAATATCGAATTTAGTTATGTACTTCATTTTTGTCACTTAAACAAATGTAATTAGCAATCACAAAATTTTCATTTTAAAACTTACAAAATTAGTACTCGTACTGCGCTAAGGCACAGAATAAATAATAGTACTACGTAGCTAAGGGCAAATTATGGTGAATAAATACTAATTTCTCTGCATTGAAAGGTAACAAGCGGTTTCGCCTGTCTTCATAAACAAGGCCAGCTTCAGAAAAAAGTATTTCGCTGTACACACTGCTGCAGGGTGCTGAAAGATAGATTTTGGCAAACTTTGATAAATTTGGGTATTGTGTAGCCTGCGCACCTAATATAAGGGTTACGATTGCGAACAGTTTGCACTGACTTTACTTCTCGCTTCTTGTGATGCACCAAACGGCAATGTTCGGCAGAATATCCGGCTATCCGGCGATAAGACTGGCCGAATATCCGGTATCCGGTATCCGGCCAAACAGCTATCCGTTTCATCTCTACTAAAAATCTATAACCAGTGGGGATGAAAGATTTTCTAGGGTCCCGTACGGGTAAGCACTATGCAGAGTGTAGGGCCAACTTGCACTAAATAAAATGACAACATACATCTTCTCTGCGAACGGCATGTCAGGTTCGGGGAATCCATGTCATGTCGTATTATAGTTGATATCGATTGATAGTTAAAACTATTATCTCGATTTTAAAAATAGGTACAAAAACATAATATATTTATACGTGGTAGAGTCACGTTGGGGCTATTTTATGGTTGTAGCACGAATGGTTAATCTTCAGGGGTGACAACGCATCTGCATTTTGATTCTTAATCGAGAATAAATGTAGACGTCTATGGGCCACAGCATTCACTCACTAGAAAAAATATTAAAGTTCAATTAATGAAAAAATCGCAATTCTTGCAATTTAACGTTGAAAATGTCGCGATTAATCGAAAATCGATCTTTTAATCCTCGATTTAATCGATAATCGATTCTAGTACCTTCGATTCAAATCGATTCAGAGATCGATTTTTTTAAGAGTGAATCGACATGCCTAAATTTTACTAATTTTAACGTGTTTAGTTTTTAATTCTCGACATTTGGCGGGGTGAGGCGGGAGGGGGGGGGTTTGACGTCTTGATGTCATAGTTAACGTAGACTATCCTTAACTGTTAATTATTAATTTTTGTTCCAATAGACGCCAAACACCTCAGTCCGACCCGTGACCATGGGTGCTGTATAATGCCCGAAACGTCGGGAATTTAAAAGTTCTGTTTTAAAACTCCATAAAATTAGTATTCTTCGCGTAAGTATAAGAAATCATTAACAATACATAATTCAATAATTGTATTGTTTATATCTTATTGTGAACTTGTATTATGTTTTTAATAGATTTAACCTATTAACGCAGACTAGTATCAAAAATCAATAATATGAGATTATAAAAATATAGCCAACAGAAGAATTCCGTAAGAGTATTACGTGCGAACAATGCGCCGCATGATACGTAATACGCGATTAGAAAATTCTCAGAAATACTAAAACGTCACTAGTATGTCGTATTATATTAAACAACAGACATTAACGATGCATATTCATGTAGCCTTAATAGCTGGACAAACCTTTGTCCTTTAAAAAATCCTCAAATTCGCAACACAAAATATTGAGGATCAGGATAAAAAGTAAAAACTTTTACAAAATTTCATAAAAATTGTTTGGGTGATTTCGGAGAATAGCGTGAACGAACGGTTGCCTCTCGGTCTACCACGGCGTTTAGAATTGAAATAATTCGAGCTCAATTTTCTCACTTAATATCATTAAATTGATTTTTATACAGTTGGAAGAAAGTCTCGCTGTTTGGAACTCCACTGTAAAATCAATACGTGATAATTTAAAAATAGAAGAAGTAGAGATTATCCTCAATGATGGCACAACGAAGAAAATTTGGAAAGTGGATCGGCCACAGTTAGAAACAATGGAGACAGTTGACTTTGTATGTAGTTTAATAATGTATACTTTTCATTAAAATACGTAACACTGCAGGGTTGTACTTTTTGAAAATAAAGATAATCTGTTGGCACGCACTTGCCACGGGTAGGCATAAGTATTAAAAATACATAATATTATTTAATTCATTTTTAAATGTGGATAGAAAATAGGAGAGTTTTACAGACAATCCCATTTGCCGCCACTATATTGGTAATTAAAACAATTACTTTTCGACTCTCTAAAATAGGTGATTACTAGTAACCAAGTTCTTTTTATTTAATTATTACTATATTTTAGCTTCCTTTATGTTCTAATCCGGAATAAAAGTAATTTAGAAGTAGTTTATTAGCCCTACGTAGACTATATTGAAAACTGACCTCCCTCGTTCGGTTGTAATGGAGGATATAAATTTATTACTTCAAAATTTTTGTTGCTATAATATTTGTATTGTACTAGTATTATATCTATTGTTTGATTTTCAGTTGCAGCTCCTGCCATCAGCTATAGGCAAGCGAATTCTAGGTTATTTACCCACAACTCAACTAAATGAATGCTATCGCGTCAATAAGTATTGGGCATATATTATCGATGACCTCAGAACGGAATTTATAGCTAGAGAAAAGATTGACACAGAGCTAGAAAAGCTACGAGTAATTTTTCTATTTATTTTATTGTTAGAATCATAGAATACTATAATACATTCATAATATTATAATACATTCATAATAGAACAGGAGAGTGGGCGGAGCCCTTGTAGCCACTAAAATGTAACTAACACGTCGTATAAATGTCAACACGACATGTGTTTTGATGACGTTACAATCGTTTCCAAATTTCGCATGAAAATTATTTAGAAAATGCCAAATTGCACGCCATTTACAAATAAATATGTATTAAAATCTGTTAACACAGCGAACCGCGCTTGTAGTAGTGATAATACGACGTAATTGCTTATATGTGTGGTCCTGGCGACGCCTATCGTCGTACAAAATAAGGTTGACAGCCATTCTATTGTGTATTATATTTATATAGTATTCTATGGTTAGAATAATGCATGGGCTACCAATATCGTCACTACCAACACCACTCTAACCACTACAGTTGAAAACACAACATTATTGATAAACCTTATGTACTGACACACCATCGTCGATAATACGACAGGTATTTCGTCTTTAAATGTGGCATCATTAGGAGAAATTGTCGCTGCGATGGCTAACTGCTAAGCGTTATAGCAGTTAGAGTAGTGATGGAAGTAGTGTTGGGTTTCCTAGAGTAGCTACACTAGGAAACCCAACACTACTTCCATCGTGTAGTGCACGCAATCTTGGAAGAAAAACACTCCTGTTTTTCACGCGCATTCAAGATCTAATAACTTTTCACACTTGTAAGACCATAATTACTCTGGCCAATGAGAGTAGTGTTAAATGTGTAAAAGTTTTGTGATCGCCAATCTTCTCTGTAATTTTTTTATACAATAAGGGTGACAAACGAGCACACAGTCCACCTGATGGTAAGTGAATGCTGTAGCCCATAGACATCTACATTTATCCTCGATTAAGAATCAAAACGCAGATGCGTTGTCAACCCTGAGGACTACGATGGAATGCCTCGTTTCCAGTAAAAATAGTCACCGGATCTACACTCACCATACGAATAACAGCAGCAATGAGCTGCTATTTCAAGCTGTTATCCTGTCTCAAGCTGTAAGAGCGTGTCCTACCCATGCCGAGCTGACCCATTCATGCTATAACCATAATATAGCTGTAGCGTAGCTCTACCACGTATTATGATAAATCTATCAATTAGGCATTTTACCAATTAGACATGTATAATGTTTATGAACCTGTTATACCGTAGAATACTATAATTACATACATAATAGAACGGGGTGTGGGCGAAGCCCGTGTAGCCACTAAAATGTTACCTAACACGTCACTTCACACGTATAATTGTCAAAACGAGATTTATTTTGACATTAGAATCGTTTCCGAATTTCGCACGCAAATTATTTAGAAAATGCCAAATTGCACGCTATTTACAAATAAATACGTATCAAAATCTGTCTGTCAGCACAGCGAATCGGGTTTGTCGTAGTGATAATACTACGTAATTTCTTGTATGTGTGCTCCCGGCGACTCATAACCTCGTACAAAAAAAGAGGTTGACAGCCATTCTATTGTGTATTATAGTATTCTATGTGTTATACTATAACGTCCACTACTACTACTACTACTACTACTACTACTACTACTACTACTACTACTACTGCTACTACTACTACTACTACATCAAAAGTCCACTGCTGAACATAGGCCTCCCCATACATTGCCTCTGGCGGGATATTAGATGTAGTTGCCACGCTTGGCAGGCAGGTTGGCAACCGTCTTTTTATTTTTAGTTGTTATTAGTCAGACGCTGTAGTTCACCTGGTTTGTTTCCCTTTGTCGTCTTTTATGACACCCACGGGATGACGCGTGGTAGTGGATATTCTTACACCGCGACTATCCTATTTATGAACGTAATAATTATAGACACTGTTAATTAAAAATTATCAATTAATAGGAAATTATGGCTCGTAATGACGAAAGTATGGACTCCATGATACAGTCGGTTACGCAAATAGAACACTATAGTTCGCAACCACCAAGTATGCCGTCAGTTAAAACCAGATACGATATGCCTAGCATATGCGTCAGTCAAAAAACCGGACGCTCACCTTTCAGACACATAAGAGAGAAAATGAACAAGCCTAGGTATAAGGTAAGTAACGTTGATATGTTTATTATTTATTCTACTGTATATCCTAGTTCCCAGAGGTGTATCAGTAAGATATATATACCACTTGATAGAGCCACGATACAACTAGGCACTGTTGTAAGATAAACGGTTTAAATGGTTTTAAAAAATGGGACCCATTCGATTCAATATTTATTTACTCATTATAGCCTATCACTGTGTAGTGGCGGTGTAAAAATATCCACTACGAGTACCTACCTCATTTCATACCGTGGGTGTCGTAAGAGGCGACAGCAGGAAGCATATGATTGGCAGCAGCGTCTTCCTAATAACTACTTAAAAAAAACTGCAGTTACCAACCCGCTTGCTAAGTGCGGCAACCATGACAAATATCTATGGGGACGGCCTATGCTCAGCAGTTGACTTTAATAGGCTGCAATCATAAAATACTATAATACACAATAGAATGGCTGTCAACCTTATTTTGTAGGAGGATTGGCGTTGCCAAACCCGATTCGCTGTGTTGACATACTGAGTAAATTACATTTTAGACTTTTGATTAATGTGCAAGATCATCATTTAAAAAAATCGTTTAAATTTTAATACATATTTATTTGTAAATAGGGTGCAATTTGGCATTTTCTAAATAATTTGCATGCGAAATTCGGAAACGATTGTAACGTCAAAACACATCTCGTGTTGACATTTATACTTGTGAACTGACATGTTAGTGACATTTTAGTGGCTACGCGGGCTCCGCCCACTCCCCCGTTCTATTATGTATCTATTATAGTATTCTATGACTACAGCGGTAAAGCCTATTTAAGACCACTGCTGAACATAAGCTCCATAAACTTGACACTGTTTTCCATGTGGAGTGAAATCACAGATGCATCTGTTCTCATAGTCGGATTTCATTCAAAGATATTTCATTTTCGCATTTATATAAGGATTTCTAATATTATTGTAGTTTGCTTCTTTGCTGGAGTTTCGCAGCTGATTCTTCATTTTGGCTTTCGACGAGTAAAATAGCAAGCCTCTTGAAATAATTACATAGATATAATTATTGTGAGCCCCAATTTTTACTAACTTCAGAAATAATGCAACTAAATATCTGAAAATAATCTGAAAACTAGCTGCTCCTAACAAATTAAGACATGTTTCTATGTGAAATTTTAAAATTTTTACTTTCATTATTGAGACAGATCATAGCGTCGTATATAAAAAAATTGAACTTAAAACTTCCGATTGAAATTGTAAAACACTGTTATCTATCCCTCTGCAAATTTTAAAATCTTTATATTCAATTTTTAACATCACATCTATATAAAATATCTTTTATAAAGCATCTTAAATTTGTTTATTTTGTTTCTTCTTCAAAGACATCAAAACCAATTCGGAACATGGCTGACCTAAACACACGCTTGAAAAGACGAGGCGCCGCTGATGAGAACATCTGGAAGTGGTGTGAAAATGTTCTTAAACTTTATAAAAGACCGAATCATGAGGAGGTAATTTTTACTTTTACAGAATCCGACCATTTGTATGAGTGTGTGGTTATTGCATAGTCGAGAGTAGATTAAATATTATGCGACGCCATGCTTAGGATTTTTTTTACTTGTAATCCAGTAAAAAGTAAAAAAGTAAACTTACAGCCTATATACGTCCTGGGCACAGGCCTCCCCTCATTTCTGAGATGGTTTTAGGGCAAGGTAGTGTCCACCGCGCTGCCTCAATGCGTGTTGGCAAACTTCAAATGTGGTCGAAATATTTTTTTGTTATTCCTCAGTCATGCAGGTTTTCTCACGATGTTTTCCTTCATCGCCGAGCACGTGGTAGATCAGCAATTAAATTGCAATTAACAATTTCATTGGGATTCGAACCCGGGTTACTCGCGTTTTCTTATATTTACAGCCGGCGTTAACCATCTGAGCTACCACGGGCTCACCAGTAAGCCAGTGTAAGCCAGTGCTTGACAATCCCTCCTTGTGGTAAACGCTGATGAAGTGTTAGATGGTGAATAGCACTATCCTAGGGTAATAAAAAATATTCACTCTTGCTTTTGAGACCCACAGATGATCATCATCATAATTATTAAATCCTATCAAAAGTCCACAGCTGAACGTAGGTTTCCCAAATGGATTGTCTAATAGGGGCGGATATTTGACATAGTTGCCACGGTTGGAAGACGGATTAGCAACCGGTTTTTATTATTTTGTTGTTATTAGGGAGATGCTGCAGCCCATCTCTTGGTTTGTTTCCCTTTCTCACCTCTTACGATCGTGTAATGGCGATGTAAAAATATTCACTACACCATATCGACCCAGATTGTATTCGTATGGAAAGTCTTACAGAAAGGTAACTTCTCTATAAGCCTTGCCTTATTTTTTATAGGTTAGGGTGACAAACGAGCACACAGTCCTGATGGTAAGTGGTTGCTGCGGCCCATAGACATCTACATTTATCCTCGATTACAAATCAAAATGCAGATGCGTTGTCACCCGTGAGGACTAAGATGGAATGTCTAGTTTCCTGTAAAAAGGGTCTCCGGCTCTCCACACTCACCATACGAAACACAGCAGCACTAAGTTACTATTTTACGCTGGTATTCTGTGAGAGCGTGGTCCTTCCCCGGTCTAGCCGACCCATTCGTGCTACAACTAAACTACTAATATAACTGCAGTATGGCTCTACCACGTATAAAATTATAAATAATAAAGAATATTCTTATACAGTTTTTGTGAAACGTTAATTCATATTTGCAGGACGACAAAGGAATTAAGGATAAACAGTCAACGGGCCACTTATATTTCCCGTGCCCTTTGATGGATCAAAGTATAATTATTCCGCTCTCTAAGCCTCTTCTTAAAGATCCCGCTAATGTCAAAGTTCCAATGAAGTAAGTTATCGGTATTATCTATAGTTCTATTCGTCACTGTTCAATGAAACATCTCAAGAAACAAAACTAAGCGCTCTAGAAGAGAGATGTGAACACAAGGTCCGATCGTGCAGTGGCAGTTTAAGAATATCCACTGTCCCATATCGTCTTAGCTTGTTATAAAATCTCCTACTAAAGACCTACAAGTACGAAGACTTGTTCAAAATTACTATCGGGGACTTATAGATTACTGGCTCTGGTAGTATGATCTTAGTCCTGATAATATGAAAAACAACTATCTGGGGGCACGGCAGTGCCCCCGCCAAGTCGTGCAAAAAAGCGGTACGGCCGTACTATACTTTTCTCGAAGCAATTCAGGCGATTTTCGACCCCCTATAACTTTGTAGTGGATAAAACTATAATCCTGAATTTTCAGTAACCAAGTAGGCATTGCATAAACATGGTATATTTTAATTTCAATTTGAACCAGTAGTTTAAGAGTTATAACTAGTCAAAGTTTCTTAATTTTGTCACTCACTATATATAGATTGACTTGGCAATCGCACTAAGCGATCTAATTTAATATAATATGTATTACTTGTGAGATACATTGTGTTTTCATGCGATGGCCAAGTCAATCTATATATTTAAAACATAAAAGATTTTTAACATTGATATGGGCACTATAAAATATTGTTAGGTTAGCTAATTACGTAATAACTTAAAACAGAAGGACCCTTAAGTAGGAACTGAATAAATTAACCGACTTGGTATTACATGGATCTCACAACTTTTTATGGTAGAAGAACTAAGTTGCGAGACTTGTTTTTTTTTACAAGTTATGTTTTTGATGGCATTTACAGTTTTCTCTTCAATATTCTTCTATAAACATTATATTGAATTTTTATTACAGTGATAACTACATTTTTAAATTTTAATGCAAGAGTAATAAATAATCTAACAGTTCTTCAGATGGCAAGTCGGTGACAAACGAGCTCACAGTCTAGACTCGCTGCTGTGGCCCTTAGACATCTACAATCTACATCTAACCTCGATTAAGAATCAAAATGCAGTTGCGTTGTCACCTCTGAGGACTAAGATGAAAAGCCTCGTTTCCAGTAAAAGAGTCTCCGGTTCTCTACACTCACCATACTAAACAGCAGTATAAAGCTGTTATTTTACGCTAGTATTCTGTGAGAGCGTGATCCATCCCGGTCGAGCGACAACTATAACCGCAGCATGACTCTACCACTTCAAAAGCTTTCATTTTCAAACAATGAATTTTTATTTTAATCTGTTTTTAATAATAAATCGTAAAGAGCCTTATGACCTTTAACATTATTATTTTAATACTTCAGGTCAACCAAGGTCAACATTAAATTACGTAACGACATCAACACTTCACATCAACAGGATAACAAACGCTATAGTCTATGGAGTAAAGACTTGTCCAGCTTATATCCGGTGTCTAAGATTGCATCTTATCAGTCGCCTTTATAGATTAAGGAATAATTTTCTTATTATGTGATTCCTTAAAAAATAAATTTAACATCTTACTACGAAAACGCTACGATGGATAGCAAGTTGAATGCTTTTCAATTGTGCTGCCTCTGAAAGTGCTGTTAGCGTAATATTTTGTTCATTTTTAATATTTTGTATGTTTACATAAACGATAAAAAATTCAGTTACCTCTTATGTTTTATTTTTTCCAGAGTTAGGCATTCCCACAGAAATCTAAATAATAAGGCAATGTTGCATGAATTGCATGAATGCTAGAGATATTTGTAGGCGTAATTGTGCATTTATTGCTTGTCTATGTGCGATAGCTACGACCTGGCGACACGCGTCCAGATAATAAAAGACAGTAGAAGGCATTTCTAGTGCCTTATTATTTAGATTTCTGTGGGCGTTCCTTAATTTTTTTTTATCAATAGAAACGAGCTTAATATATTTTTGAATGTCTTTCATTATCACCAATGAAATTGTTCGACGGTTTACTGAGTAGAGTCGCTGTAAGAATATCTACTACCTTATATCAACTCGTGAGTGTCATAATAGGTGATAAAGGGAAACAAATCAGGAGATGGGCAGTAGCGTTCTTGTAATAACAACTAAAAATAAAAAAAAATACGTGTGGCACTCGGTGACTGCCGCGGTAAACCTATTGCATAGCATTTTTTATCAACTTATGCAATTATAATTATTTATTTATTTTATTTATGCAGTTAAGTCTTTGATATTAAATCAAGTTACACTTTTGGAGCGTGGTGACCGCTAAGAAAACAATTTTTTTTCACTTATTGAATAAATGAGAAGTTAATATTGTTTAAAATATTTTTAATATCTTACAATACATCTAGGTTATTCAGGAAGTTTTATCATTGAGTTAGCAGCTAGTGTACACGCATACGTCTAGTCGCACGCACCCAAACACCGTGCCGAACTCTGCCGAGAGCCGAAGTCTGCCGAACTGAAACGACGTTAGACTATGCACGGCTTTCAACGCCACACCTCCGTGCCCGTCGGAGTGGGGAGCGTGAGGTTTTTTCGTTACGGAATTTCTGGATTCGGTCCCCGCGCTCAAGGCCCGCGATAGAAGCTATGCAATAGCTTAAAAACTGCAGTGTCCATCCCAATTGCCAAGCGTGGCGACTAAGGCAAATATACCCCTGATAGGCATCTATGGGGGAGGCCTATGTTCAGCAGTTGACTTAAATAGACTAAAGAAAACATACTGTACTGTGATAAATGAGATGTAAAAATATTCAGAAGACATGTGAAATCCATTTGATTAGTGTGACAGATTCTTTATTCCAGAACTATGTTAGCATCAGGACCTCTGGACCACTAGAGAATTTTTTTGATAATAGAAAAGTAACTTTTGGATAATATCAAGGTAATACCAAACTTTAATACATTAATTTAATATTTTACGTTTATTTAAGAATGTAAGATCTCAAGGATTACTATATTGACTACGTTTACTCTACATATTATACTATGTTCTTTTACGCATGCACTTTTTTACATGGGGAAATGCCTACGTATACGCGCCTTGCGGGGGCAAGGACGGGTTATGTCGGACTCACATGGACTAAAATCCCTTGTTGTTCCACTTTCGTCGCATATTGGCAGGGCCACGGAAGCGTTTTTGCACACATCTGCGGACCCTCCAGCGCCGGCCGCCCCATGGCGGCGCCTCCTCGGGAAAGGACTACTCCTTCCCATTCTTCTTCTCAGACAAGGCGCACCAGGACATATAGTGCACCGTCCTCCACGGCCTCCAACTACACGGGCCAGGAAAAACGAGCACTCAGCATCATTAGCCTTCCTGACCCCAGCGGCGGATCTGGTCTATGGCCCCACTGCCAAACGAGATTCGGCTGCGGAGGGTAGGGAGAGCGGCACTTGGTAATACCGACACTTCTCTCCCCCTGCAGCCCCACCACCACCGCATCAACGGTGCGGCCCCGTTTAAGTCGCGGAGGATAGGACGAGCGGGGCAAAACGCATTGGTTGAAGACTTTTGTCTTCAGACAGTATGGGCGACGAGAAAAACTCGACGAAGCTTTCCAAGTGCTGCCCAGCTTTACTGAATCCTCCGATCGGCTTCCTTCTCGAAGTTATTCTTATCTAGTTACAGTATCTGCCCGAGGTAGGTATAAAAAAGTAAAGTTACAACCTATATACGTCCCACTGCTGGGCACAGGCCTCCACTCATTTCTGAGAGGGTTTTAGGGCAAAGAATTGTCCGCCACGCTACCCCAATGCGTGTTGGTGAATTTCACTTCGAAATATTTTTTTTCTTATTTCTCTGACATGCAGGTTTCCTCACTATGTTTTCCTTCACCGCCGAGCACATGGTAAAGTAGGTGAAAGTAGGGTAAAGCACGAGGTAGGTATATTCCTGCATAACTTCGAGAATTTCACCATCAACAGTAATTGGAACTGGCATGACGTGATCGTTAAAAATAAATTATAATACTGCGTACAGAAGTTGCACTCCTTTGATATTGACTGCTTGCGGATATTTTAATAGCCTACATAATTATCATTAATTAGATAAATCGCGCACGCAAACTAAATAAAACTTTATCACTGCGTGCGAGTGTCCGTATTATTTTACATCCTTTTCCCCTTCCTACATTACGGCGGACTTTTCGTGGTTACTAAGGGCTGTCATTAAAAATTTTAAAAAAACATTGCGAAAGTAAGTTACTTAGGTAAGGTACCTTTTTTGCGTGGAGAAATCCTTATGGATACCCGTCTGTCACGTAGGCGCCAGACAGGTTATGCCGGACTCCTACCGGCCAAAACCCCACTGTGTTCATCTCTTCACCATTAGTCAGGGCTACGGGAACGCTTTCACACACTACCGCAGTCCCGACTTGATTCGGTCTTACAGGAGCCGACTCGATGACTTCTTCTTGTAGGGGCGTACAATCACACCGTACGCGCCACCTCGAGGCCCTACATAAGAGGCGATGGATAACCTCCGTGTCCGCCCCCTAAGCCTCAGTTATGAGGTGTGGAAGAGAACCTGATATACTCTTCTCCGGCGCCCAGCTCTCCGGCTGCGGATTAGGATATTTGCAGTCTTTTCTCTCTCCCTCTCTGCAGCTTCCTTCTGTGACATTACTTGTTCGCAGAAGGTTACTTCAGCACTCCACGTCCTCTCGCATCCAACCATAGCTTTAATAAAAGCTGGGAGCGAGAGGTCGTCTCCCACAACAGTCACGAGGTCTCGACACAACTCAGCCCAAGCCGGGCAATCCTCAAGGGTATGCTCCGCTGTGTCTTTTTCGCTACCACAGTGGTGGCACTCAGTTGTTGGCTCTCTTCCGGCTATACGGCACAGATACTTTTACCAAAGCACCCATGGCCGGAAAAGCACCTGCACCAGCCGGAAAGCCAGTGACCCGTGCCGCCTGTTTGTCCAGTCTAACAGGACCGAACGAATAGCCTCGACAGTCCTGCTTCCTGCCTTCGGGTGGGCTAGACGCTCCTTCCACCTTGCAAGCACAAGTTGCAGAGTGTAGAGCTTTCGCAATTGCCACTCTCTGGGAGAGGTGCGGTATCCTCGGTATCGGAGTTCTGAGCGCCAATCGTACATAGGTGCAACGAACTCCGCCTCTATATCCCAGGGTGGGGACGCCGCCAAAACGCATGCTGCCTCAAGGGAGGTCGTCTGGTACCTTCGTACCTCCTCCGCCCTCTGGGGCCTTCTCAGGAAGCCGATAGTTCTTTCCGTCAGAGCCCCAATCCATATAGGGGCCCCATAAAGCCAGGTACCGAACCACCCCCAAATAGAGGCGGCGGCAATTCGAATCGGGCCCTCCGGCATTGAGCAGCAGCCGCTTTAAAGGCAGCTGTCGCTCCCATTAGCCGGGGCCAAGCACCTAAAGTACTCGCGGAAGCTCCAACGGCTATCCAGGATGAGTCCAAGGTACCTCATGTTGGACCCAACCTGAATCCGGACATCACTGAAAATGATGAGGGATCCCTGTCGCGGTACTTTTCGAGGCCTGTGAAAATTCGTCGAGTTTTTCTCGTCGCCCATACTGTCTGAAGACAAAAGTCTTCAACCAATGCGTTTTGCCCCGCTCGTCCTATCCTCCGCGACTTAAACGGGGCCGCACCGTTGATGCGGTGGTGGTGGGGCTGCAGGGGGAGGCCTGGGACTTGCTTAACGCCACTTCCAGTCCCAAAATCCTGATTCTGCTAACAACCTGTGCCACAGACTTAGTGGCAATACGAACGGCTGCCTCATAGGTCTCCCCCCGGGCAGTGAGAGTATCATCTGCATAGCAGATTATGCCAGCACCCGGAGGAAGGTCTCCGCGTCTTAGGTAAGGTACTTATTCTAACTATGATCGACCGACCATATTTTCACTATTATATGGATTCTGTGACGCCCAACGTTTGCAACTAACAAGGCCATTCGTCGCGAATGCTTGGCTTGGAAGAAATAAGTAGGTAGTGTAAACAACAAATAAACCCGAAATACGATTTCTAAATGAAATGTGACCTTATTATGTATACTTAGTTAAAAATCTTGTAAACAAAGTTTTAATTTCAGTATTTTATTTTATTAATGTAAGTAGGTACTTGGATAGTGAAGTTTTCAACTAAGTTTTGTAATAAAGTATTTAGGTTTTACTTCTGTTAGTTAGTTAATTTGTTACTTCATCCTTTTTTGCTACAAGTAACTGACTAACAACAGAAAAATAAATTAATATCACCTTTCATTAACCTTCGGTAACTTAAAAAATTATATATTTGAATCATTATGTTTGCTCATGTAGCATCCATCTCCGCAACAATTATAGTAGTTTATAGTAGTTACGACGTTATTTATATAACATGAGAGTATAAATAGTCGCCTCCACGGCTGTAATTTACTTTTATTTTTAAAGGTTACTTCATGTTTATATTTACCTCCACGGCTTTTGAATGTGAATGAAGTAAAATTGTTTCGTTAGGTTAATAGTGTTACTGCT